TTCAATTCCATCTCAGTGATAAGCTTATGCAAGCAAATAAATTTTTTTGCCGCATCTGTTGCAGTTACATACTTAGTTTTTGTTGTAGATCAAGCTACGTACTTTCTATAAGACTAATATTCAACTTATGTATTCAATTCTGTTGTAGACCAAGCTACATACTTCTGTAATATAAATTTTCAACTAACGCATTCATTTCCATTGTAGACCAAGCTACGTACTTTTGTAAGATCAATCTCTAACTAATGCATTTACTTCAAATAGTAAACACATATCTAGTTGTAAAATTACTCTGGTCCAAATTTTTTACATAATCACCATCAATGTAATATAACAAGAATTTTAGATTTTCTAACAAACCATTAAATAATAAATCATAATCCTTAGTACTCTTCAAATAATTGAAAATTTATTTAATTGTTTTCTAGTACAGCTTTTCCTAGATTCAACATGTATCTGCTCATCTTCTCCATCGCTAGAGCAATATCATACTTTATGCACACAGTCAAATACATGAGGCTGGTCACAACTTTATCACATGAAACACATAACATCTTTACTTTTTTGATAATATCTGTTGGACGTTGAGCTGTAAAAAGTTTGAATTGTGATGCCAAAGTAGTCCATACTTCTTGAGAGTCTTGCATCTTAAACTTGTCAAGTACACATTGAACATACTTGTCTTAATTCAACTATAGTCACTTTTTCACCCAAGTCATATGAATGTTCATTCCTAATATTTTCTTGGATTTATCCAAATACTTCATCTTGAATGCAGATTTGAACTAATTCTTGCATCTATCAACTTTGGATTGGTTTTTTGCCAAGATAAGTATATTATCCACTTAGAAAACTAGAATTAAAAAAATTAAAGATCTCATTATTCACTTTCTTTATGTTAACACTAATATCATACACACTTCGTGAAAAATCTTGGGTTTTCATGAACTCATCAAATTGTGCATTTTATTGCATAGAAGCTTGCTTCAATCTATACAACAATATCAACAATCTACAAACTAGCTTAACTTAATCTTTCTACTCATAGCCAATTGATTTTCTCATATAGATATTCTTCTCTAAAGATTCATCAAAAAATATTTTACTAAATATAAATTAATTCATAGAACCACATCCATCTGATTTATAACAAAACTAAATATTGTTGCAAGTTCACGTAACAGACAAATTGCAACATAATTTGTTTAAGTTTTCAACAATTCGTTATAATCCACACCTTTCTTTTGTGTGAAACCTCTATCCATCAACTTGATTCTTCTTCAGCTTTTACATCCACTTACAATCAATCAAAGTCTAATTTCTTAATAGTTCCACAAACTTTGAAGTTTTGTTATAAACCCGCAACTGCATCTCACACTTCATAGTAGCAATCTACTCAAACTTATTAATAGAGGCTTAAGCTTATCCATAGGAAGAAGACATTTCTTCTTCCAAATCAATGGTATGCCATATTCAGTAACAATATCAAGATCTTAAAAAATGATTGAATCAAACCATAATCCATACTTGTCAAGAGCTCTACTATTCTAATTTGATGATCTTCTCGTAGAAAATTCTAGTTGATTCCTATCTTATGGTGTAGATATTTGAATCTCATCAACAAGAACTTGCTTTTCTGATTCCTTCTATTCAAGAATTTGTTCCATCTATACTAAGCTTCTTTTTGTATCACATCATTAATCACATGATGATCAATTCTTTTTTCAACAATATCTGTGAGTGAAGATTCATCATTCCAATGCAAGAAAGCCTGAGAAGTTTACTCATCTTTCAATGATTTGAGCATATTGAAATAAACATCCCTATTGATAATAACTTTTCAGACTGCTAGTTCAAAAAAACTATAATACTTCACATCAGTAGCATATTCAAAAAATGACACTTATGGATATAGAATTTAATTTTATCATCTTCTTGTTAGATTTGAAAATATAAATCATAAAATCAAAAATTTTCAATTAATCATAATTAATCATCCGTTTGTGATTCAGCTCAATAGCTATTAAAAAATTGATTGCACCATAAGGAAAATGATCCACCAAATGCACCTTAGTATAGAAAGTAAAAGTTCAAAATTCATTTGATAAACTTGATTGAATAAACATACTACGTACCTTCTCCAACACTGCTCAATTGAAACTCTCAAAACAACATTCTTTTACGTAATATAAATCGTGATGGAATGATAAGTAATCTCATACTCTTTGCAGTAACTCCAAATTTTTTTCAAATTATACATTTCATCATTATCATACATAATTATCTCACATTAAGTGCAATCTCAGTCTCAATTTGGACCTTTCAATTCTTGATGTAAATACCTCGGACTTGTCTATGAAAAAATAAATTCACACAAAATTTTAGTAATCATCAATAAATGACACATAGTAAAGCTATTCAAAGAATAAAATTTTTGAACACTGTCTCCATTTATACGTATTTAAATAGTTTTTTGAAAATGTGGTATCCAACACCGAAGGCTTAACTATAGTGTTTGTACATGATACGATATTTACAAAATTCTAAGTCATCTTAATCAATGCTAGATAACAATTTTTTCTCGCTTAATAGACAAATATATCATACTCATGTGTCATAGCGTAGAATGCCACATATGAGATATCTCAACTTGATATCTGGTAAAGTTCATTCCCCCATAGATGATAGTGTTCCCTAGCAAGTGCAAATTGTTTTGCTTATGATATCTATAGATAATCATCTCACATACTCCAACCTCAATCGCTTTTTTCTTAGAGATTCATTTGATTCCTTTGAGTCAAACATTTCAAGAATATATCAACTTTTTACTCATATTAGATATAAATTAAACTTGAGTCAATGTACGGTTAACTACATCAAATATGCAAATTTAAAAAATGGCAAATAAACTAATTCTTACAAAGTTTATCATTAACCGTAAGACTTAAGTCGTTTGATATTGAAAATATACCAAAAAACTTTCTAAAGTAACAAATGTGATAAGACTAAGCACTATCTAGAAATCATACATCACCAACAATCGTTGATGAATTGCATAATACATGCATCTAGCATCAAAGTACATCTTCCAGCAAGTCATGTTAGTCAAAGTCAAAATCTTGAATCACATCGGTTAACGAAGTATCATCACCTTTGATTTTCATACGACATTTCTTCTTGACGTAGCCACTCTTGTCACATCTCCAACACATCATCATCTTCATCTCTAAAAATTTATATCTAAACTTGGATCTACTTTCATATTCAAAATGTTTATCATACTTGTCATTTTAACCTCGTGTCAAATTCAATATCGTATTGGAAAAACAGTACGGAATATATAATATCATCATCTTTTATTGTAAATTATTAATCAACAGAACATTTACAATCTTTTTGTAAATGATTATTTGCCTATCACAATGAATTAATACACGCGATAATGACTCATAAGATGTAGATAATAAAAAAATAAAATTAAAAGAATTACTTTCATTAGTGATATACTTTCTAAGATTTTTTTAATTGGTAACAAGACCATCAAGTGACATTTCATCTTGAAACTCATCAGCATCAAGAAGTCATATAAACTGTTTGATAGCTCTTTGCAATAAAAACATTGCTCAAGAGACTCAAGAAAATACACTTGTCATATTCATCTACTTGCTTCAAAATTGAAGATTACAGATGAAATATGGCCATGCGCAATGGATGTTTTTCATATCGTCATATTCATTTACTTGCTTCAAAATCAAAGATTGCAAATGAAATATGAACATGTACAATGGTTGTTTTTCATATCGTCATATTCATCTACTTGCTTCAAAATAAAAGATTGCAAATGAAATATGACCATGCTCAATGAATGTTTTTTGTATTGTCATATTCATCGACTTGCTTCAAAATTGAAGATTGCAAATGAAATATGACCATGCGCAATGGATGTTTTTCATATCGTCATATTCATCTACTTGCTTCAAAATGAAAGATTGCAAATGAAATATGACCATATTCATTGGATGTCTTTCATATCAGGATATAAACTTATATATTTGTGCAATCATTGTTGTATGTGAGTGATTTTGGCCTCAGCATCTTGCCATAATCTTGTCTCTTCCAAAACAAATAGTCATCTGGTTCGTCTTATTAGAATATGTCATAATTTGGTTTTGCAGAATTTGTGACCATCATCTGGTTATGAAAAAAATTTGAAGTTGTAATTTGTACGATTTGAATGAAAACTTTTCTTTTTTATTCAATCGCTCACCTCCTTTGTCAGGGATTGAATATCTTAGATCAAAATTTTCTATTGAAATGCAGTAGTCTATCGATCAAAATATTCCAACAATCAAGAACAATCAAATGTTCTTGATCCAACATCCAATGATACTTTGTCCAACTACAAACAGATGCATGTCTTTTTGATTTTCGTGACTGTTCGTCTTCCAACATGATTTGTCTCTCGCAATTGTTTGTCTTTGAAAATTGTTGGTCTACTACAACTTTTTGTCTCCCAAAGCTGTTCGTATCTGCTAGCTTGACTTCTTGGGCGACAAAGACTTCCATTCTTACGCAAGTCTGCAAGCGCTTGTGATCAAAGTCGGAGTCGTGCTCGTCAACCTAGAAACCGCGACAAGAGGTTTGCTCTTTCATCTATAGGCGGACAATCACACACATCCAAAGCTCGCTTTGATATCATTTGTTTGAAATTTCCGGCGACAAGATCTCAAAGAGGAAAATCAATAGGGACATTTACTAAGAAGAGTAACATACTCCAAATTATCTCTTCACGATAAATAATATGCACACTCTCACCAACATAACAACCGACGGCCAAGAGAGAAAACTCTTACCCTAAGAGACGAGTTTTATACTGAGACAAGGATTAATACTAACAATCACTTCTGAATATGAATTAAGAAATGAAAAAAAAAAGTTTTTCCTAATGATATGATCTTTAATTCTTATTCATTAAATATAATTTTTTTATTGGAATGCAGATTATCGACGAGTTTGGTTGGTGGAAGTTTGTTGAACTGGTTCACGGGATCTTCGGAGTCATCAAATAAAGCCGAAGGAGAAACTTCAAAACAAAATGAAGATGCTGATGTATATGATGATGATGAAGAATTAGAATAGTATAGTAGTTAAAAACAAATGATTAACTTGAAATCCTCTAAGAAAAAGTATTCAATATAATCTTTAGAATGAATAATGAATAATTAATATTTCTATTATAGCATATTAAAATATTGATAGATTTAATTTTTTTCTTAAAAGTATGAAACAAAATTTATATCATGTCATGAAATTTGAATTTTTTTTACTAAAATTAAAAGAAACCTACATAAATTATGCCTATAGATAAAGCAAAATCTTTTCAATTACACTTCAGGTTAATTATTCAAATTATTAAAGTTTCTTTGTTTGAGAATATTTTTTTATTGAAAAAGTAAAAGAATTCATTAAAGATTTTATTTCAACAGATGAAAATAAAAAATAAAAATATTTTTCAACTTATCCATCTAAAATTTATTATTACCTATATAATATATGTTATATTATATCATAAACAAACATATACAAAGTTGTTAGTAATAGATTTGGATCTTGTTAGCTAAAGTTAATATTACTGCGATGAGTAGGACTAAAGTTAATTGAGCACTATATATAACAGTTTGTTTGAAAAGTCATAGTTTAAGTTATCTTGAACTTACTTAAAAAATAAACCACCCTACTCCACTTTTTGCTCTTTTTTTTTAATTGTGTTGATGATAAAGTAATAAAGACAAGATAAGAAATTGTACTCATTGGTATAACAACTTTCATTTATTATTGAGATTATCTCATAATGTAGAGATATAATTAACTAAGGATTTCATCCGATATTTGTGCACTATATCTTTCAATATTGTAATAAAAGGTATATCTGGACGTTTGAGTCAACCAACACATGTTGTGATTTAAATCAGATATTACACAAGAAAAATAAAATGATTTACTCTTCACATTGGATAAGAAGTCGAGAGACTCAAGATAATTCCTGCATATGAACCCTAAAGAATTTGAATGCCAGTACTAGAAAAACAATAACTTAGTAAAAAAATTTTTTCTTCAACAATGACAGAGACGGAAGTAGATCGTAAACTACAAAAAGTTTGCAAACGATAAAGATGTAATTTTTGTAGGTACTAACTGGGGACCAAAGGTTCAAAAACTCGAAGTCAAATGTGGGTTCAATCCCCAATTCGTGCAGAAGATACAACGTTGGCGACTATGAGAGATTCACGGTCGCCACTAGGAGACGAGATGAGCAGTAGACAGCGAATGAAGCTGTCATACCTCGTTGGTCGTGACTGTCTAGAACTTTAGTCGTAGTCACATAGTCAGACGCTGCCTCAGTCTGAGGTTCCACAAATCGCTTTGCATCTCTTCGAATTCCAAAGATTTCTAGCCGCCGTCATTCATCTGACCCTCGAACTGAATCTGCGTCTGCATCCTTTTCTTTGTCTTCTACGAAGAAGAGGTGTCTCGCTCCTGTACTTTCGGGCATTGTGAGTCGCTTGCTGCTCATGAATTTGTTGTACCCATAGATGATCCATGTCATTGCATCTTAAGACAGTTATCCCGATCCGGATGGTTTAATTTCCGATCTTGGACAAACTTGGGGTACGTCCATGTCTTTGTTCTGGTTGCTTCTGGCGGTGGTGAGCATCACATTCTATCCAAAGTAGTCCCCCCTTTTTTCCTCGTGCCATCTGCAATGTCACCAAGTGTAAACAAGACAAAGGTCTTTTGGCTACATTACTTGGTCATCCCCAAATCTTAAACAAGTCAAAGGGCTTACGATTGAAAGAAAAGAATCCCTGGATCTTTCCAGGTCTGCCATCGGAGAGACGAGTTTCAGCTATATGGGCCGGTCAACTTATCTCCTAAACAATCACCCAACAAAGGCAGAAGCAGCAGGTCCGGAAAGGACGGACAACTTGGACGGGCATGTAACTGTCACCATTTTTTCTGAGAACAGTGTCCCCCCCACCCCCAGCACCCCCGCCACCCGCCACCCGCCATCCCCCATCGTTTGAAATTCACGTGTAGTCTAGCTCCAACTACCTTCAATACGAGGTTTGGTGCGAAGAGTCTGTCACCACGCCCTTGTGTTCGTAATTTATGACTTTCTTTTGCACATTGTTCAGAAAATATGCGTATACTTTCTTCTGCACTTATTTTATGCTTGTTTCTTTTGCACATTGTTGTTCTGTTATTCTGCGAGCCCCAAGTGCCCATAATTCTGTTTGGGGAATATTCATAACACGTGCGTGAAAACATTCTATTTTCACAACAGCATAGTAGTGACGGAAGACATAAAGGAGAAGGTCCGGGCTGGAAAGGTTGACATGAATATTCAAATCTGCTTTCTAGATTCCGAGAAATGATAGCTCCAGCCAGATTCATCTCGGTTGGCATCGATCAGATTCATAGAAGCATTATTAGATAAAAGTGCTGTAATTCAGGATGCTTGAATATTCAGGGGTACGCGAGACTACTGCCCGAGATGTCAGGTACATACCTCTGGTTAAACATCGAGTGCAGTTTGATCCGGAGAGAACACGGTGGCACTTCATCTCGACCATGCATTACCTCGATCCCTAAATCAAGGATCAACTTCTTAACTCGGTGAACGTTCTTCGATCCAAGGTTTATAGATTTTTCTATAAACCTCATTCATGTGATCGTGACGACTGGAAGGTTCAAACATGAAGGCCATGGATGACAAGTCCGCAGTCTTCTCGAAATGTGGATGCATAGTCTGACGTGAATCAGGACAGACTTTGAGATGAGGAAGTTGCACAGAGATGCATCGCTCGTTGCTTGAATCTTGTTCACTTACTGAGGCTGCATCCGCTCTAAGGGGTAGATGAGCTTCAACTGATTCTCACTCCTGTGAACAGTAAGTAAACACTGTACAAGATCTAGAAACTGACAGACGGCGGTCTTGTGCTTGTTACGAACGGCTGGCTGCCTCTGTGCGTTGCCTGTTCGCCTAGCTTCCACTGCATAGGGTGGAACTGAACAGGTTCGGACGTTCAATGTCCTCGCATCTTTCTAAGTTTAAGCATATGTCAGCCTGGACACAGTCGCTCTTACAGTAATCCCGGGCACTGCAGTGGTTGGAAGCAGCTGAGGACCAATTCAAGTCAAACAGCAGAAGCTCGGCTGTCCGAGTGGAGATAAGTATGAGACTCAACACTGTTAGGGAACTGTATTTTAAAGCCAAGAATGCTCTGCCACTGAGACACACTCCCGATAAGTTTTGCGATCCTCTTGAATTTTCAAATATTCTGCAAGTTATGAATTCATAAACTGTTAGGGAGGTCTCAAGAGACCGAGCAAAAAAAGTACTTGATATCTTTTTTCCCGATTTTACAATTTCTAAACGACTAGCCCCATCCTACCCACATGGTTCATCCCTGTACGACAAGATAAGATGTTCCCATCCTTTTCGCTAATACTTGGTACTTCGCTTTTAAATGACTAGCTTCATATCAGACCTATATCACCGTTTGGTTCATCGTGTACGTATGCCGCAAGTCCATTCTCAGCCTCGGTACGGGATCGATGAAGAAGCCTAGGAGAGAAGGGGACTGTTCGGTACTGTATCTTCCTCTCAATGTCAGTTGATGTGCTAGTGGAAGATACCCCCACTGACTCGAAGATCTCGTTCTAGATTCACATTTTACGCTCCACCAACAGGTACGGGCAACCATGACGAGAATCTCTGATGGAATATCATCCAACCAGATTCCTTGGCTACACTCCGTGTTCATCCATGCGAGGAGCACGAGGAGAGTCACGGTCTCAAAAGTTGAAAAGTTTCTGCACTGAATCATGATCGCGGAGGTAAGAGTTGTTGAAGGAACGAATTGTCGAAGAGAAGAACTGTAAAGACGGTAGAAGGCCAAGGGAATAAAACGGAAGAAATGTGTTGTGAAGGTGAATAAACGCAGTTTTAAAAAAACTCAGAGCCCGAAAGGAACGAGGAAAGGAGACACAGAGGCTCGGGCCAAAGCCGACACGTGTCTATTATACAACCAATGGTCGGAAAGCCTGTCTTATGCTGCATACAGTAAATACAAGTGGCGCGCAGAAAGTAGGTCAATGCTCTTCACCTCAGAAGCTGTGATCGAGTACAAAGTAAATTAACAGAAAGGATTGGAAGACCCCATCGAGCATCACGAGCCACCAGAACATTTAACACTTGTCGTTCTTTCTCCACGTATCGGTCTAGTATAGAGCACTCCTAGCATGGATTGCAGAGAAATCATCAGCACCTAGTTAGAACTGAAACATCATCACCTTACGAGCGGTATATGCGTTAGATGAGGTGATGGTGATCGTCAGGCTGACCTAGTTGTTGTAGTGAGTAAATCCATGCATGTGGTGGAAGCTGCTAGCTGTTCTAGGGCAGCAACTTTATGCATATTTCAGACCCCAACTCATCACTTTTGCAACGACTCATGAGTTTCGAGGATTGATTCCTCACTCTCCCCGACACGATTTCAGGACAATGGAGTTTGGACTGAGTAGAGGAGTTCCAAATACCGGTCTGTTATGAGGTCCTTTGGCCAACTTTGAGAATCAGAAATTACAGAAATTACAGAAATTCTTTAACTTTCTGCTTATGATCAGGAGTATCAAATGCGCAAACAGTAGTCCACTCCTCTGTGAATACATTTGCAGTGGTAGACCAATAAAACTAGGCCAGTTCAAGTTTTCTCCCACTGTAGAATAGAGCACTAACGCACATTGCCAGCGAAATAGGAACAGTCAGCATAACGCAAACATCCGCAACGTGAACGGCACATACTTTTTTCTTGGGCAATTCTTATGCTAAACTAGGCACATTGCCAGCACAAAGCGAATAGGATACGTTTCCTTAGTCAATTTGCTATCTTGTCATCATTCTTATCAACAGAAAGATAACGATTTATTGGGGCCATCAAATTTTTCAACATGGCCTTTGAATACATGATTGCATTTAAAAAATTAAACATTCCAGTAGACAAGTTTGAGTGAAATTTAAAAACACTACTTCGAATCCCAGCGAGGCAAATAACGTATTGGACTCACATTCTCTCAATAAGAAACAGCCGTATGATTATTTGAGATTTTCAGTTTTGAAAGTACAAGGTTCTCCGCAAGTCATACCACTACTTTCTTACTCTTTGCTCGGTTCCAAACCTTTTGTCTTGGTAGTTTCGCCTCTTACCTCAAGAAAGGGTAAATAATGCTGCTTTATTCAAACATAAAGATACATTTCCAAATACTCTTAAAGCAATGTAACGTCTGAACACTTCCATCACTCCTGAAACTACAAGTTTCGATGTCTAGTTTGACTTTATGTACATCACGCAACTTGGAACCTCTACGATTATGGAGGTAGGCCTGTTAGTTGTGACGTCTTTGAAATAAATATAATAAGTGTCTTTGTTCACACAAGCTCAGCTGATTTCTAAACAAAGATCACACTTTAGTTGCCAGGATTCAACCCTTTTCTCTATGTACTTAGCAGAATGTAATGTGGAGGCTAGGACCGACCTTTAATATGTTGTTTCATCGGTGATGATTAAGCCGAAGAACTGACGTCTATCTGACAGAAGTTAAAGAAGTGCCTCCAAGGCCCCAAGATACATCTTAAGCCTGAGATCCGAACATCTGGCCTCCCGCCTGGTTTTGAGTGATATCTTCAGCGGCTTCCTTGTTCCATCCGTAGTTTGGTCGAACAAATTAGTCTGGTAGAGCTGTCACTCCCTCCTGGTGACTTCTTCGTGGAGGTTCGGTTAGTTTTGTCGGCTACATAAAAAGTACTTCCCCGATTCACAAAATTATTTATTTGAAAAGTGAAGCCAATCTATATGAGTCTAACGATGAACTTTTTACCCCCTTGCAACAAGCCTGAAGACTGGAAACTGTAAAAATAACTCAGTGTGTAAAGTCAGCACCATACACATGTCCTCGTACATATGAATATTCAACTTGCGGGAGCCTCTATTACTTCATTCCGTTCCCATACCACACTGATCCTAGAGAATGTAAGAACCACAAACTTCTTCACCGCACATATTTGTTCTGTTCCACTGCGTGTCATGACCTGCAAATATATTAGAATGTGCTTATGCCCGTGATTGTACAGAAGCTGAAAGCCGCTGAACAGTGTTTTGATTCTTTTTGGACATTGTCTAGGATCCAAAACACAGAAGTTAGGCTGAGCGTTGGGCACATAAGCTGAGTCATGCACTTACATTCCAAACTCGGAGAGATATGCTGGTGGACTCTCGACCCTCTCTCCTACAGTAGGGTGCCACATCTGGTCTAAGACCGACAAAGTTCAGGTTTTGAAAGGTACAAGAATCCTTTTGAGAGAGGAATCACATTGACTATACACGACTCCACAAGGCTCCACATGCATACCCTGCTCTTTAACGTCACCTGTTGACCACAACCGTTGCTCCCTATTTCGAGTTCATTTAATTCCCTGGTTTTCCTTTCATACTGTTATTCAGACCAGCGCAATCGAGGTAAGTTAATCATGACACTATCAATCAAGAGCTGGCGACCGAGTCAATGCCATATGCGTCAGAAATATTTTAGAAGTATGTACTGGGTCATTCATGAGTCAGATCACACTAACCTAGATCTAACGATGCAGCTGCTACTATGTAGCTTGCGAGGAGTTCATCTCTTTTGGAACAAAACAGAAGCGGTTTAAGCTCTCGGATAAAAAAGACGCCTGTAAAATGGGGAAGATCACAGCAAATGACGTTGATATGCTTCTCTCTCCACATATGAAACACGAACATTGTGAGAACCATGTGAGAAACAGACGTACAAGCCGTACTTCAAAAGGTCTTGGCAGAGTTATTAATTTTTCCGACTTTATCTACAAGTGGTCCCACATGTGGTAGTGAACAGACGGCATGTTAAAGACCTAGTGGTCCTACAGTAGCTCGTTTGCATTAAAGTCAGCTTCCATCTAGGAGTTTTGCATCTTGTACAAAACTTACTTCTCTCGGAACTGGCAGCATAGCAAGTCTTAAGAGAGCTTTTGCAGAAAATAACCACCACCGTCCTCTTAACAAAACTTTCTCTAGATGCCTTCAAAAGCATCGAAGAAACAGGTGAGTTTTTTTCTCTCTTAGGCTGCACAATGATACCGTTTGACTAGATTCAGAAGCTGCACATGATCAGATCCTCTGAGCGAAGCTCTTTTCATATTTGCGCTAGAAACCCTCGTGGTACTCTCCGATATATTCATCATCTGCGCAAGAAGGTTGACGCCATTGGCATCTTTAGCCCGCCATTGTCGACATCCTTTTGTCAGTCCGCCCCTCTTTGCACGTGACCGAACATGTCCATAGGCACAAGATTCGATCCTAGAAACTTCATTACATTTAGCTGAGACTTTGTGTCTGGACTTTGGACTTTTGAGAGCTCCATGTCCATGGTCTACAAAATGAATCGTGAATTTTTGTCCACTTCGTCCACTTCGGCTCTAGATTCATGCATATTATCAACCAGTCAATAGTGATTAACTCCACTTCACACGTGTGGAAAGTTTTCCTTACGTTGTTTAGGCGTCCTTTTTTTCTGGACGTCACATGGAAACGATTGTCTGCTCAGTGCTGATCATCATTATCTTCATCATTTGAACAACTGACTATCTTTTCAAATTGCGGGCTGATTCAGTTCCGTCATCTGGATAAGTTTCACCCAGTATGAGAATGCATTGTACAAAACCAACTACTACAATGAGCTCATGAAATTGGGCTACTTCCATGTCAGAACTACTTCATACCTCTAGATCTACACATCACAACTTTCGCACAAGGGGAAACAACTCACATCTTCAGCCTTGTAAGTACGTCATCAAAGAAACATATAGGGGGGACACAAGTGAAAGAGCTAAAAGGATGGGAATTCCCTATCAAGCCTACATGGGCTGTGGGCATGTTCAAATTAGATCTACAATGTCTCAAGTATGCATGTGAAATTATCTACAATCAATACAGCATAATATAAAGTGATTGCCCTACAAATAATGCCATTAGCTATTGCTCGATGCAGAGCAATTAGTAATAAATTGAGCAGCAAGTTACGGAAATGGCTGAGGATGGCTTTCCAAAGTTCTGGATGGAAACTTCTGGCTCTTCAATTCCGTAAAGTGGATCGTCTTACTGTTGAAGTTGATTTATCCAGAGCTATTAATCAAGAACCGAGGAATAAGTTAAGAAATTGGATGAAGATGGGATCCAAAGCTCTAGATGGAAACTCATAGCTCTGCAATTCCGTGTAATCGGCCCTCTTAGTGTTAAAGTTGAAACAGAATAGTAGTTTAAGAAGTACCAACTAACGTGTGTGACATGACAGATAGCAAGAGAATATTGGTCGGATGCAGCAACGCTTTTGGAAACAGCTTACAGAATCATTTGGCAGTAAAACCTACCAGAAACTGGTCAGAGTTTGTCATCTGGTGGATGCTTGAGTGCTAATGGCAGGTAGTTAGTCTGTAAATTAGAAGCTTTTTGAGCTGCTGTTGTGAGTTTTGAACCTTGTAACAATCCAGACTCTTCCAACAGCTGAGGACAAAGCAGCGGAAGAATCTACAATCAACTCTCCAGCTGCATCCCTTGCTTTGTGTAAAGACGATTCGCCAGAAACCTCATGCTTGTACATTATCAACAATCTAGCAACGTTCTTTTATTCTTAAAAATGCGAGTGACGACTACTAGTCAACCTTTGCTGTTCTTTACGCAGCGCAGCTTAATGTTTGAGGTCCATATGGCACATTCATATCCATCAAACTTGAAGTCCTCCTCTGGACGCAAAGCCAGCATCCAAAGCACTGTCAGCAACCGTGTTTGCCTACTGGTATGCAAGAATTACAGATAAGATCTCTACAACAGAAAAAGAGAGGAGCCACCGAGTTTTGGACGACACCTCTGCTTCGGGAGTGCAACACAAATTTTTGAAGTGTTGGTGCGCATTAACTGCTTCATGAAGGGAGCCCAAATAACACACGGAAGAGATAGTACCCATGATGAAAGGGATGAAATAAACTCGTTCTCGTACGACAGGAAGGAATTCAACAGTTACGACAAGATTTGTTCCTGAGGCCATTACATGCCGACAGATTTCACTTGGACAGAAAAGTGTAACATGACAGTGTACAGTGGGAATATCGGCTTAGTATTCAATTTTATGTGCCAACTTGTAACGATCTAGCCACCAACTTGGATATTTCCGATATTAGTCTCTATCTGGAACGCACTAACAAGAAGGAAGGTTGACTGCCGGACAACAAGCTTACACAACCATGCTCTTATCGATACCGGGCTCCACGTTCAACATTCGAGGCTGAATCAGAGGAGTCCGAAGTGTGCGAACACGACGTACCACGAAACGCTCCGCGTCGCCTGCTTACCGAGCCCAAGTGGATCCAAACGACCGATGATCGACAAGACAACACACGGTGACACAACTCGGTCGAGTTCCGCCACTCCAGAGAGAGAGAGCCCCGATTCTGTTTCTGGTGCCGACATTGCTCGTACTTCTCGCACATCCGAGTCCTTCGGAGGTCCATTACTATGAGCGCGAGCGTCTCTCTCTGCGCATCGTGCCAGCTCTCCGCCTTTGCAACTTCCAACAGTGAAGCCGGTGGCGCGTGTGCTCCCGCGGAAGCCAGCTGACACTTCAAATACGCACCCGACCGCATCCCGCGCCTTCTCATTTACCGGTACCAGAATTTGAATTTGGAAGTCCCTGCCTGGATTGGGACCGGCAACAAGTTCAATTTTCCAAACCATTATCGGGGTGCCCAAAATATTGTATACAATTATTTAAATATTTATGTATTTGAGTGGAGTCGCACAAGAGAGTGAAAGTACATTCCGTAAGATTCTTTGTTATCATCGGTGCATAAATGTCTTGCCTCTCCCATCCTCTCCCATTCATAATGTCAATTGAAATACAATATCACACGAAACTTTCGTTATTTTAGCTCAAATAATTTTGGTCTGTATTATGCTCCCACATCCATCAGGTTCTTGACTTTCACAAGGTCCACCTTTCGCGCTTTCTGTTGTTCTCTAATTTTAGTCCTCCTTTATTTAGTTATCCATAATAGATGGAGCCAAACAAGAAGACAAACCCTGTCCGATTGATTGTCTTCTTCATCCCTGCAAAATACTCTAAACTCTTTGATTTAAAATTCACTTGGCTTAATGAAGTAAATCATCATTTCATTAAAATTGTTATTCTTCATCATTTTTTACTGATTTTTTTTTTTAAAATTAGGGAAGTCAATACATTGACATCCAACTTGCTACAGGATACAATTTCATCTTATTGGACTAGAAAATTTGTACTGAATATTTATCTAGATATTGATTCTAAATTTTAAGACGATATATGTCAACAATTTTTGAAACTAAAAATTTAAATATTTCATCAGAAATATGTATGAAGTTTTTTATATAATAGATTTCTCATATTTAGGGTAAATTATGCTGTTCTGCAGACTTTTCATAAACAGTGCACCAACAGTTTTGTTACTTTTACATGTGATCTTACTCTATCTTGTTTTAGTTAAGATTTGTAGTATACGAGTTTCACTGAGAAAAGTGACAAACAATAAGAAAAAGTAGTAACACACATCAAACACAAGAGACTCAAGCCATGAACGTGGTTCACCCAAGGGCTACGTTCACGGTAACGCAAACACACAAATTTATAATGAGCATACGGGGATACAGAGTGAACACGGGGGTTTAAATACCCCATGTCCGCACGGTTGGCTAACTAAAAATAGAATACTACAAATTGTAATTTTCTATTTAAGAGTTCGAAACATAAACATAAGGAGTTCCAAATAAAAAATTAAACATAAAATCAAATAGAAATCAATCAACAACGTAAAGAGTATTACAGCATCAACTATTCCATTACAAATTTACAAATTTACAAATTTACTAACTAAAAATTGAAGATTACAGCATTTTCATATTAATAAATTATAAAAAATGGCGAAAAATCTATATATGCATGTTAAGTGGATTAATCTCAAAAGTATCCTTATGTTCTTATATGATTTTTATTTGATTCAATGACATATGTTGCACGTGTATAATTTCTTATTGGCAACTGACAATCATTGATGTGGTAATTAACATAGATGATTTGAATATTACATAATATGGACGGCAGTCATGCAAATTGTAGTGAACTGTTATGGTCCTTGTTTTCTTGACTCAAATCATGAATGATAATTACAATGTACAACTAAACAACTATCTAATGTTAGATTTTTTTCAATTGAAATGAAAGATATAATAAATTTATGTACCACATATTACCATATGATATATTGATATATACTATCATAATAGATTTTGAAATTGAACATCAAAAGTGAATAATATTTTTTTTTATCCTTGTTGGTGATGAGGTAAGTTTCATCATCTAGCTTTTTCATAGTAAAAAAAAATAAAATGTAATAAAAAATTTCATGTATTTTGTACATGAAATTGTATGTATGGTGAAGTTTAAGATAAGAATGTATTTTTTAATTCTATATGAATGCATATTGAGTCAAAACTATTCGTAAAATAATTTTTCAATAGACACACCTTCATTTTGTCTTTGGAATAAAAACATTTTTTTGTTTATATTCACCAATACTAGATTCAAAGTATGATATAGAACTAAAAATATATGTTCGAGTTATAAATGTTGAGGTTTTCAATGTGTTAGTTTTTTCCTGTTGGCAGTTAAGGCGTCTCTCTCTCTCTCATCTATATCTAGTGTGTTGATTGTATTGAAACCCCTAGATTATAAAGTCAGAATTCCTGTCCTCCCCCCTTGAGCTCATTGGCAAGATATCGTGATATAACAAAGTTCCCGCGGATGTAAATGGCAAAGCTTTAGAAGGCGGTTTTGCAGTCAACACCTTCGGATGGCAATGGGAGGATCCTTCCCGTGCAACTTCCGGTGAGTACAGTAAATGCACATCAGATCACGTCGTACCGAGGTTAACTTAATAAACTCTAAAAGGGCAAGAGCCAGTCACAAATGTTAACAACCACTTTTGTACTGATGTCAAGTGGATCATTGTGTTGGGGAGAAAATTGTACAATGTTCATCTTCCGGCAGGTCAAATGAATCTATATGTAGCATGTAATAAAAACCATGGGTTTCTCACAAGGATCATGAGAAGTTGAAACAAAGATTTCAAAAATTTGCAATATTTTGGAGAAATTTGCTTGATAGGACCCAATAAATTACACTTTACCCCTACAACGGGTCACCTTCAATTTATGTTCTTATATTTGATTCGTTTCCAATTCAATGAAATTTTTTTATTTCTTCCCGAATTTAAGTTAATCAGATTTTCCATGGCTCCCAATCTACATCATGAAAGAGCCCAATTTCTTGAGTCCCGTAATGATTTTAGAGTTATAATGTATCGGCATAATCTACTTACTCCTTACTTTTTATTCTAAATCTCTTGGTGTAAATCATGTTAGTTGCGTATTTTGGTCCGTGAAGAGCATTTCACTTCTCGACAAAGAGTCTAAGTGTTTTTCCTAGTCTGGTTTGAAAGCAATTACAAGAACTCCCAGTAGAACATCGGTAAACTGAATTGCCCGTCGGAAGTGTCCCATTGGGTAAATTGGAACTTCTTGGGTCCCATCAAGCAGTCAACGTTCTGATTCGGTACGATCAAGCAAATTTCTCCAAGCAAATTTCTCCAATATTCTGTCCCTCTTGATACTTTCCTTTGCCTACAACATGTAATTTTATTATTTGGTATTTTTGAATATGATCCTACATTAATTTGGCGTCTACATGTAATCTCAATGAGACTTCACTGCAGTAGAGCCACAAAACCGTCAGGTTTTAGTGGATCGAACGGGACATTATCAATCCGGACTTTCAGTTCGGAGGACAGTCCGAGGACCTCAATCTGGTGTGTAATCTGAGTACAACATTGAATTTCAGGCTCCCGCTTGTTCGGCATATTTACAGGCCATCTTAGAGACCCAATTTCCTTGCACCCTGGGAAGTTTCCTTAGTTCTTCAATCTAATCGCTTGTGTGCCTAAGATCTGTCAATCATTGAGTATTGGTGCCATATTGTGATCCTTGCTTGCCCAAATAGCTGCTTGCTAAATAATTCAGTGTCATGGAAATCAGATAAGATCCCAAATTCCTTGTATGTAGACCATTGGGATGCTATTGCCAGAAGAATGAACAGATAATATTATCATCCTCCCTATTATTTTTTTGCATGTATGGATTGATGCAATTCCGGATCTTTATAGTTAGGATTGACATCTAGTGTAATTACTATACCTTCAGGACTGTGATGTTCAGTGGCTACGACTCATTATAATGGTATGTCCCATTCAACATCACATTTCTATCTAATAAGATACTAACTGCATTAAATCTCAATACCAGCTATAAAGACTCAGAATTGCACTAGTCCGCACATACATTGGCACTGTCTTCAACCTCAATGCAAAAGCTGCCCCTGAACGGGCGCTCTCTAAGTAACCCTGAATGGCAGTTCCTTTGTTCAGGGAACCACTGCATATGTCTATAAACCCATCAATCTGGACGTCGATGAGCTCTTTGCTGCCCACAACCGAACTCTAGACGAAGTGTATGACAGCGTCTACATCCACACCTTTGGCCAGCCGACCGTCCTCATCTGTGAACTTCACTGCGACCAGCGAAAGATTTTGGTCCGGCCTCACACTCAGATACTGCGTGATTGCCTTCAGCTGACCCGAGAAGTCCGCGCCCGGGAAATGAAAACTGTCCCGTCAAAGTGCTCCACCTGCAGGCCCAGCTCAAGAAGTAATAGGGTATATGACAGTATTCTAACATTCTGCATCTTTACACACCATCTTAGAGATCCCATTTCCTTGCACCGTGGAAAGTTTCCTTAGTTCTTCAGTCTAATCGCTTGTGCGCGTCAGATCTGTCAGTCACTGAGTATTCGTGCCATATTGTGATCCTTGCCTGCCCTGACAACTAGCTGCTTGCTAAATATCTCCGTGTCATGGAAATTAGATAAGATCCTAAACGCCCTGTATGTAGACCACTGGGATGATATTGCCAGAAGAATGAACTCTTTTATGTTGACGCTTGCCAGCTGATAATTTCTGTGATCGAATTCCGAAGGTCTATAATAGGTTGGGTGTGTACCCCCGGCACTACTAAAAGATCTCATCTATGTCGGGCAGAATATCCGTGAATTCGAGCAACGTCATAATAACTTCAAAACTCTAGGAAAAACGTCCAAGACTGATTGATGAAAGACGAGTAATTGAATAATGGAGTTGGATAATCTCCCTGTTCCGTGTATACTGTACATGAGTGAATCTATGGTGATTCTGACATGGTCAAAGCAATTTTTATTTCAACTACGTATGTAAGTCTGGAAGACCGATTCCTTATCTCGATACACAATGCAGAAAGTGCACAGATGTGACAGCAATATCTACATTATCTAGAGTTAGGTTGTCATCGAGACTTTTACCGGTTTCAATTTATATCGGCCTCGAGTGCTGATAAATGTCTATACACATAGTCTTACAGGTCAAGCTTTCCATTCTGACAGAGGGATGGTTTGAACATAGCGCCAGGTCATTTCCATGGCACCTGCCCCATACCTGTCCCCTGCAACCTCTTCAACTGGAACAGCAGCTTCGATTTCTGCCAACTCCTCTTTGCTAAATTTTATCGAAAGAGCACCGACATTCTCCTCCAGATTCTTCGCTTTCGTCGTGCCGGGAATTGGCACAACATCGGCACCTTGATGGTGCACCCAGGCCAGGGCTACCTGCCCTGAAGTCCTGCCATGCTTCTTGCCGATCTCGACAAGGCGTTCATAGAATACCTGATTTTTTTCAAGGTTTGCTGGCAGTAACCTCGGCACAACAGTCTGAAACACACGACGAATTTCGTCAACTATGTCAATCACTAAGACAATGCGACACAACAGTATTCGTGTGTTTGAGTCAGACTAATAACATTTATTTGGGTTTTTTGGGTTGTTCAGAAACACGGTGCCAATTTATATACGTAAAATGTCCAAAGGTCCACTTCCCCACGGAGTACAAGAGTTCAATTCAAGAAAAAACTGGACAGATTAAAAGTTGTAAGCCTCGAACAAGAGTGGACAAGAAGCAGCTTTCCCCCCTCAATTCCCTTTCAGAAACAACCTCAGATGCATATGAACTTGACGACCAGATTTTGCAGAGCACATTCATAAACAATGGAGGCATATAATATACACAGCAGCTTGCAATTCCTCGAAAGATTGTTTTAATGCCTCACAGGAGCAGCCCACGTTGTCTTCAGGCAACAAGAAAAGATAGCATTGAAAACAGTCAGCACTGACAAGCCCAAATTCTTGAAAGGTTAGCATCAGATCTCCTCACAGTCAATTCACATTTGGTGCAACTAAAAATCTGAATTAAAAAAGTTGAGTCTTTGACAAAAAGCACACTCAACAAGGTGAAGATCTAGATACGATAATAAGCACTGAAGGAAAAACTTTGAGTAAAGTAATTTATGTAGAAAAATTCTGCTTTTGAAGATCCAAAGCGTATTAAAGCCAGGAGACATTCGCTCATACTGTATAAACATATTCTTGAGAAAGGAAATTGTAACGAACCTTTCGGAAGTCATTGTCCTCCAATTTATCGACTTGCACTCCAGAGAAAAAACCTCGTCCAAGCGGACTGTAAGGGACAATTCCGATTCCCAACTCCCTGCATTTCTTTTACGTCAGTTCGAATAATGCATCCCTTAAGATACCTCTGCAGATGTCTCCGCAGGTACCGTCGAGCTCAAAGAACGAAGAAATTTTCAGCCTGGATTGGAACATCGTTTCTGAATGATGGGTGCATGCATTACCTGCAAGTTGGGATCACATCTTCTTCCACATCACGAGACCAGAGGGAATATTCCAGCTGAATAGCGGTAATTGGATGCACTGCATGAGCTCTACGAATGTCTGAAGCAGATGCCTCCGACATTCCCAGATACTTCACTTTACCCTCTTCGACAAACTTCTTCATTTCCCCAATCTGAACATTTCTTCTGTTGTTTATTAGAAATAACAACAGAAGAAGGATTGAAGAGGCCAATATCCAGTAAATGAACTCAGTGAAAACGAGGTCACTCATGAACTGCCATCAAGATGAAAGTGCTCTTTTGACAAACAAAGCGAGGAATATAGAGAGAGACCTAAACTCACACTGATTTCAATAGGTACACTTTTATCCACACGATGCATGTAGTAAAGATCAATGTAGTCAACATCGAGCCGTTTCAAACTTCCTTCAAGACATTCACGAATGTACGGTGGATCATTTCTGACTGTCCTGACTCCAGTTACGGGGTCTGCATAGAAAGCAAATTTTGTGGCAATCTGAACTTTGTCCCTGATACCTTTAAAGGCCTGCGCACAACAGGTTACTCCTCTTTAAACCATCTCCGTCTCCTTCGTTTACATCAAGGTACACAAAAGCTCCCGAGAACTGAAACGCATGAATCAAAACATATCCAGTTGCAGCATAAAACAGACACACTGAGAGAACGAATGTAAAAGAATACACAAACGGTAACGTTCACCGATCATGCAGTTCTCCTGCTTAGCCACCACAGACGCGATTCTACTGCAACAAAAGAATCCCTTCAACTTATTCATCATCTCTCCGAAGTACTTCGATTCTAATCTTCTTCTGGAACCAAGGAGCAGGTACTGGGAAAAACCGGGGCTTCATTCAGAGTTTGTCTCTGCTATATCACTTTTCTTGGCAACCTTATTAAGGAGATACACCCCATGCCTGAGATCTGAGCTTTACTCATAAGGGTTTCTGCTTCTTTTCATGTTTTCTTTCCATCCGTAGTGTTATTGACACGCGAAACGTATTCGGCTTGTCGTACAACACGAAAGGTCAACTTCGAAAAAACTCCCATACCACTGCTTTACCTCCACCTGATCAGCGTATATCTCTTGCCCAGAATTCAAACTCTCGTGAAAAACCGGTGACAGGATAATTTATCTGAGGGCTCTTTTCGTGCCAACGATTACAACGCAAAAGGGGACTCGAAAGGAAACTTCGAGCCAGATAAGTCCGACGAGTGGTGTGTCAGTGACGTCTTACTCATTGACAAGGTGATAACGAAGCAGTGGGCACGCAGCTGAGACTTTCGACAAACAAGAGAATTCGCATCATACAATGCAACTAACAACTATCAGGGATTCGCATACTAATCAAAATCTCTCGAATGGGCAGCTCTGGCATCTACTCTCGGCACAAAAATGACAGTCTCCTGGAGAGTCACCTGCAGGGAATTGTCAGAGTCTAGAACAACTATCCTGCGTTCGAGAAATTCACTGCCACTCTTGAACGCCAGCAGACGCAGCAATCCAGTCTCACCTTGCCAAGAAGGACTTCATTTGTATGAGGCCCATAAGCATCAGACGTATCGAAGAACGTGACGCCAATGTCCACGGCGTGACGGATGAGTTCGATCATCTCAGGCTCCGGTTTCGGGGCACCATAAAAGGCCGACATCGACATACATCCTAATCCCTGCTTCGAAACCTCGAATCCCTGCGATCCGAGCTTCACTCTCTCAACGACGGGCACACTCGACGCCATCTCGACAGCTGACAGACGGACTCGAAATGCCGATTGCTGCTTCGCTCCTCCTCCTTCCCTTCCCTTCCCTTCCTCTCCCCTCCCCTCCCCTCGCTTTAAACGGGCGGAATGAGGTCAATGTCAGCATTGACCCCAATGCCAAATAAGCCAGGAGTGCTCTTCCGACATGGAGGGCTCCAAGACCGCAGGGTCTGCGTGAGCGCAGAACCTACGGTCCACCAGACTCTACGACCCATGCAATCCTCAGCAGTTTTGTCCGCGTTCACATGATGGCCTAGAGGTCGTATTACAGTACCAGGCTTCCCGCTTTCTTTCCCGGTTTCCACTCACCAGTCACCTGCTAGTGAAGGTTGGGCAGAGTCGCATATCTTTCATATCGCTCAGTTTGCCGTTTTCTTGCTTTCAAGTTCTGCTAATAAATTCGCCATTTTCCCTAAATGTTGAAAAAAATATGTCGTGGGAAGGAGAGATAAGGAGAAAGATAAAGGAGAAAGAAGGAGAAAATAAGGGAGGTGGAGATTGATAAGGACGTGACTAGGAGAAAAACACATCCCCGTGAGTAGACGAATACCTTCAATTTCTTTCTTTATCGAGCAAGGTCACGACCATGGTAGAGAAGGGATGGACCAAAGTTCCACCAATTGTAAGGTAGAGACTTCTCCGAAGATTTCAGTCAAAGCAGGTATATTGCAAATATGGACCCCACCAGAAGATTCTAACCTGCCTATGCCACTTACGCATATCGCAGAGGAAGAAAATGAGATTAAAATATTATGGGTTGGTGGTCAATCCATATTAATTAGTTGATTCAACCTTGTTTCTGCTTGTGGACCAATGCACATGCATATTATAAAAAAATAACATTGACTTCTTTGCACAGTCAACCGAGGTACAGGGACGAGTATTGTCAAATTTCTGAAACCTCCCAACCTACTACGAATCCTGATGTGTTCTGCTTCGTATTTCAGTCTGTACATGGCCTGAGTAGGGGACAGACATCGCGTGTTAGAAGCTTTGCATCAAACAAGTAAATATCAAATGGTTTATACACAAGCATGCCTAAATTAGGCGATCTAGTTCTAGTCGACTAAATGAAATAGTTGTTCGGTGGTTATCTTGTGTGTGCTTTATTTATGTTAAACATAACGCTGGCTAAACATGAGGTAGCAACGTACGAGAGCGATTGCTTTCAATAGGTTTCATGGATCAATACCCAATACATGCTCGGGAGCTTTTAAAGTTTGTGAATCCGATTGCATTTTGAGTGGGTTTGCCGGGAACAGGAACTACTTCAAAAGTTAGATTTTTGTCTCTTTCTCACCTTTGGATATACCAATTGACATGCTGGTAGGTAGAAAATTTCAGCAGAAGATTGTTTTTTTCACTACTTTAGAAGCTTGATGTACTCAATTAATTTTAAAAAAACTTTCTAATTATTTACATTTGTTCATAGGATCTTTTTTCTCATCTCCCATCATTAGCTCAAAACTTTTTCTAAATTAATTATGCTCCACTAGGTCATCAGGCCCTATAAATACTTCCATGGCCACCTTGAGTCCATCTGCAAGGATTCTAAGATACATTGTGTGTGCTTAATTTCTCCCACACACAATAAAGCATATAAATAAAACATTCATTTGGCCTTGCCTAAATTAAACATTCCTGATGCATCTAAATCAAATTAATTTAGGCAATTCATGTGATGGTCTAATATAAGCATGTATGATTATACAGGTACTCTTGAAAATTGGTCCAACTTGGTAGCTTTAGTATTATCGTGTATTTTGGTGGGAGGTTAAAAAAAATTGATTCTTTATTTTTCAAGTTTTGTTTATGTAGCCTCGCTATGCCTAGTCTTGAGGAGATTTTTAACAATTTTTTTTGTATTATGTGGATTAAGATGATATTTAACAAATATTGAATCTCATCAATAAGAAAATTGTCCATAGTGATGAATCATTCACTATTTGATGAATGACATAGAGATTAAGAGTTAATTTAGATTTTGATTCAACTCTAGTTAGCTGAATCTTAGTTAATTAAGCTAGTCAGGCTGTCACTAGAGAGTACTTACCAAAACTTTCCAAGATATTTTTTTTAATAAGGAATATATTTTTGTGGAGGTAGTCTAACGAAGTAAACTACATATATTTTATGTGGTTACTATGTGTACGCTTTGTGTTCTTTTGATGTCATCTTAACAATTGGTGTCAAATTGGTAACGGACAAACCCGTATTCGAACTTCATTTGGAAGTTTTAACTAGGATGAAAACGAGGGCGTCTTCAACCAACACCTCTTAGTCAACTGAATCGACATCGATGAGGAGGATAATCTATCAACTTCTAGAATTGCTATGTTTGGGCTATCCAAAATGTTATATCCAAATTAAACGCATATGTTAATTATCAGCGGGAGAGTAACTATGAGACGTTGGGTCTTCTTTCAGTACAAGATCCCGTATAAACTGTATTTATTGATCATACAAGGGTTGTGTTGAGGTATGTGAAACACCGTAGATTCCATATGACTTTAGCACACTATGAGAGAGTGTGCTTTAGCACACTATGTGTTTACGAACATTCCTTGTTGACAGAAAGCTGAAGGTGTCTATCGTCTACCGGATCCAAAGTTTGAGTATGTCTAGAACCTATATCTCCACTGCGTGCAATTTGAAGTCCGCTTTACAAACTAAGTTGTTGTAGCTTTTAAATTTGACCCAATTTTACATTTAGTGTCCTATCAGAAAATGAATGTTGTAGCCCATGACAATCTTCAATTTCAACTTAATTGGCTATCCATTCAAAAGTATATTAGAATTAATCAATCAATATTTTTTTACTTCATAATCAAAAAAAAATTGATTAATAATTAAATTTTTTTTGGATTAATATTAAATATTTATGATAAAACATTAAATATATATATATATAATTCTGAAAATATTTTTAATTCTTTCATCATATAAAATGATATTAATCATATCTAATCACATTCAATATGGATGATATGTATCTACATACAACTGAGATAAAAGAAATAATAAAAAATTATTTTTTTCTATAATATATAATTAAAAATTTAGAAAAATAATTCCTTAAAAAATTATTGTTGAAGATTTGATCGTTGTCAGTAGATTATTATTACTTAAGAAGATATTTAAATTGAAGATAATAAATTTTAACATTCAAAAATCCAAGTAACATTTTTTCTTTAGGAGATTAAGACCTAAAACAAGTGCTAAATAGCTACTAAATTTCATTGTTTAAAATTTTGAAACTGGTAAAATTTCAAGTAGTTCATCAATGAGTAATAATTTAGAGAATAGAAAATGTGAAAGCAATAAATATCATTAAATTTTATTTCATACTTTAAAAAAATTTCAAGTTCTTATCATTATATTTTAAGAAAATTATTCATATTAACTTCGATTGTTGATTGATAACAATATTTTAAAAATGATTAAAATTTCAAAGAATGGATAATTGACTTGAAATCAAATGGATATATAAAAACATGTTTACTTATGTGATATCAAGCGACTTTGATATTTGGAAAAGTATCAATTTAAGATGCATTCAAGAATATAATTATGAACCATGACAACATTTGCCCATGCCCACTAGTACATTTACTAATTCGTTTTCTCACTTCTATATTCTATCCTTTAGAATCCTTCTCGTATCATTTCAGATAGCGTCATATCTTTTCCAAGACTTGATGTAATTATTTTAATACGAAATCTTTACTAGGCCTCCCAACTAGAAAAGAAATTAGATTATGGTGCAGAATCGGTTTTACAATTATACGTGTGTTTGCACTACCAGTTTGGGAACATTTTCAAATCGATTAACGCCCTGGCAATGCGTTCAACTATATTTCATCGCCACCGTTAAGTATATATCTTATCAAATCTCACCATACACACAATGGTATCAAAATCAGACTCTCAATTGAGTAAGTGGAACATCTTTTTTGCCCCCTCAATATGCAACTTTATAACTCTCCGGGTGTTGAAAAACCCTCACGAACGATACTTTACAACAGGAGTGTGAAAATCCTTGTCCTGCTGAGTGTTATTGAGAGTATCAGCATGGATGTAAAATCAGGACTTCACAGCGTCAATTATGGTGGTCAGAACTCTAGTGTACAAGCGTATGTAGTTTACAACACTAAGGAAGGCCGTCAGAAGAGAACATTTACATACAGAATTAGCCAGCCTGTCAGTGTTACCATTGAAATGATATGCTCATAAAATAAGACTGCTGAAGCTTCCTTCTCTGCAAACCCGCGAAGGTTTGTCACCGCCCCTGTTCAGGTCCAACCAGTTCAATATGTCAGACAGAAGCCTTTTGTCTTAGCATGGATAATCAAAGACGAAGATAGGCTTGTCTCATACCATCATATGTTGTACTAAACTTGCATTTGAAAATATCAGCGAGAGCACACAACGATAAACAAACCTGCAAGAATTGAAGTGGGCATAGTGTGTTGTAAGAGCAAGACAAAACGGAACATCTTGTCCTCTGGAGGAATAAGTCCGAATCTGTCAGCGAAATACACGATCACCAGGCCCTCAAATGGAATTATGACCAGCCTCACGAACACGATTGCCACTGTCGTTCTCATGCCTAGCGCTGAACTACCCGCACCTGCGACAATTTGAAGTTATGTTGAAGACTTAGTCCATTTAAAGGCGCTTTAGTCCAGTCGGGGCTTTAACTTTAGGTCCAGTCAGTTTATACGCTTTAGTCAGCGACTTATCTGATTACTGAAACTAAGCATGTCTAACGGAAATGATCTCGATTTCATTGAATCGTTCATTAAATGACAAAAATGGAAGAGCTTGTACCTCCAATCAAGTTTCCTCCCAAAGCCAGCATGATACATGGAATCATGGCTCCTCTGCAGTAAAAACGTAAAAAAATCAGACCCGGTAGACATGTCTCTTCGACTTCTCCGTCAAGAGGGGCTGCCTAATTTCACGAATGTTCACACGAGGAAAATTCTGGACAAAAGGATTCATCTGCAAGATTCTTCGTACTTCTCCGTTCCTACACCAAATAAGCTTCTTACACAACGTAAGCACAAACATGAGCTACGAACAATCCAAAAAAGACACTTCTTTAAAACTGAATTTATTGGATCAAGCTTCAGATAAGACTATACCCCATCATATTTAAGCTGTCAGAAAGAAAGAAGAAAAAACCATGCTCGTCAAAGACCATCGTCTTCAACATTGGGATACCACCAATGACAATGGCAAGGAACTGCACAATAAAAAAACACGCGGAGGGCAATAATTGAGCTGCAAAATTACGTGATATTGGAAGAAGACAAAAATTCCCAAGAAAAATAGAATGCTATTATGTTTTTAACAGGTAAGAGATCTTCAAAAACTGCAGATTCATATTTTCAAAAACTGCAGATGAGCATACTTTTTCGCAAAAAGAGTGAAAATCGGGACATTATTACGCAAATGTTACCAAATGCACACTTACAGAAGCAATAACTGGTGGTTGCGTGAGAATATCCATGATTTTGATCTCCGCCAAACAAGACTTGATATACTCCTTCACCTTTTTAGATTTACACAAATGAGATTTACACATTAGCGGCCTCCATCGAGTCAAGTTTACGGCGAGCCATCACTAAAAGAAGCACAAGGTATAGGATATGAACTGACCTTGTTTTGTTTTCCAGAAGTAAGAAGCAGAGGAGCAGTCAAATCATTTCCAGTGCTAAGTCCATTCGGATGAGAAGATAGTGCTTCTGATGTGCCATTAGCGTGGTCTCCCTTCAGGGCTGGTGCTTTCTCTACCTCGACAATTTCCTCGAAGTCTTTAGGAGGGGCCAACATTTGATAGACGTAAGTGTAAACAACCACCGCACCAACCTGGAGAAATCATTACTCGACACGTTAGCTAAATTCGAACAACAAGATCTTAAATGTAGAAGTTCCAATACGAAGACTCAGGTCCAAAACCTGATAATATCGTTCCCATTGCCATTAACAAACAGTACAATGATCGCTCTGGATAAGCAAATATAACTGCATAGGCTTTGAGATTACAGAACTTTTCCTCTTTGATCGTCATCAATCGTATACAACTTTGAATACCAAGACACCAAAAACCCACTGTTAAAGATTTTTCTAGTTCGAGAGTAAGCAACAGAGAGCAAAAACATAACAAAAGTCTTCAGCGGCAACAATGAGACAAGAATTAATTCATAAACACTACTTGAACGTACCCATTGACCAAAAGAGATGTAGGCCACACCATCACTATTGCACTTGTCCATATCCCCGAAGGGATTGTTTTCGTCATGACAAATAGCACCAATAAGTACTAAAGGGATATTCCCAATATTACCTGCAATGGCAGACCAGACACGTAAGCGAGAAGGACTGTGATTACTTGTATTTCTTCATAGAACAAGATGCCCTCAGAAAATTGCCCTGTACCCGTTTGTTCCTGACCAATACTCTCACCAGAGCTCGTATTACATCTAAAACTTGAATTAATTTCAACCAGAGTCTTCGTATTAATTTATTCTGTTTGTTGGATGTGTGATCTCATTTAATCATCATGGCATAATCGGGCCTGGTAGGACTTGATTGACTTACCAATTCCGATCATGCAGACTGTAAAGTTGAAAAACTGAGGAGGTGGCTTGACGATCAGTGCTACAATGTAACCGACAAGACAACCGATGATTGATCCGAGAAGAACGTTCACAGGAATAAACCACCTGCATGGAAGAAGCGAAGGACTTAAGGAAATGATTTCACGATATACAGAATTTGGCCCTATTTCATGACGTTCAAATCTCTTGAATATTGCTCTTACTCGACTCCGTAACTAAATCAAAGGTCAAAACGTAAGAGCAGAAGACTAAATTTTTTCATCAAATAACAGTCTGCTATGATGTCACTGAAGGGGTAACAAAGCTTATGGACAGAAAATGAATCTAGTACTCAACACCGAACTTGCGTTCTAAAGTCTCAGTACAAAAATAGCAAGTATTTAAGCTTGTAATCTCCTGCCTTTCTTTGCAAACGACAAAGAACTCTGCACAGTCAATGAAGGATGAAATGAAAAGAATGCATTTCATGTGATGGAGGCAAAACCAGAGTGAGCACTCACCACATTAGAATTTTGTCAATCGTCACTGCTTTTCCCAGCTGCGTAATGATAAGACATGGAAGAAAGAGGGAGAAGACCAGCTGGGAAGCAAGTCACCATAAGGAATTATCAGATGTCGTAACCAATTGGAGGAGCTATTTAATTTGTAAAACTCTCGGCACACTAAAGCTTCATGCCAACAACCTGGAATTTGGAATGGCACCGTCTACCTGTAACTATCTCCTGTATCGCGATCGATGGCACAGAAAAGAAATCTAACTCCCTTGCTTTATAGACAGAAGTTCCAAATCTTAATCTACTCGTCCCGTGAGGATAGTACTGACCTTGCTGAGCTCTTTCCTAGCTAGAGCAGGAAGGATGTTGATGTATGACGTGGCCATGAGTAGCCCAAGGGAGCACATAACGAGCACCTTGGCAATCGGAAGCATGGAAAATCGCAACAAGGCAGCGATCGACTCGCCACCTGCAGGCGTCGCGACCTCCACGACGCTGGCCACGAAATTTTGAACGTAATCCATTGCTGCGGAATTGAGCCGATCACAGGAATAAGCTTTTGTACTGAAACTCTACGGTATGACTAAGCAGCGATTGTGACAGCGAACAAAAGGCGATGAGACGTATGAGAGCATCGATGAAGCAATACGAACTAAACGGTGAAGTCTGTGATCCAGCATAGGAACCAACAACTCTGTGAGACGAATGAACCCTGAGGCTACCCGGAGAGTGAAAGGGAGAGGATTGTCTGAACCGTTAGAATTGTCTTTATAGCAGAGCCACTCGCTCGATCCAGAATCGAAAGCGAGCAAGCGGCCTCAGGCTCCTCGGAAGTGTCCTGTGAGGCACAGGACGGGCCGCCTGGCTGTGTATATAGCACTCACAACTCTGGCTGCGACAGTGCTCGATCCGAAGTGACACATTCTACTAGTAGGAAGTTGGACGCCGGACGGGCCCAGAGAACAGCGGCGATTCGCTTCCACAAGGACCCAGCTCCCCGATAGATACTGACCGGGGAAAAAAAAAATTAATCAAATTTTGGATATGAACTCCTCGCAATTGCTCTTTACCTGCATCCCCCGTGCTCAAGCCCAGCGCAATTCAGGAAATTCTCCTGTGGCGGCCAGTTCTCCAATCACCAAAAGTACAGCAAACGCCTGACCTGACCACAGCACAGCGCCCCGCTACTTCCACAGAATCCGGAAGGTCTTGGTACAACTCATGGAAAAAGAACTGTTTCGAATCGCACTGGAAGACATGACCAGAGTGGAGCAGACGACCGCAGGTGGAGGGAGACGCACAGCGCTCACACTGTGCGATGATGAAATCCACAGGCGCGAAATCGACACCAAGAGCACCGAGGCCAAGAAACAACCTCCGCGGACGCGTGGCCCAGTCCGACCGACAGTCGAAACCACCGCACCGACTCGCCTCGCCTCGCCTCAGCTGCGGCCAATTTCGATGCAATTTGGCACCACCATCGCAGTGCGAGCAAGCGAGCGACTGCGGTGGAGCCCGGCGACGCGGCGCTCGCGGTGCGCAGGAAAGCCTTTTCCTTACCGAGTCGGGACGGGCGAATATGCGATTCTGCAACGACGAGATCTCACGACCTCCCATCGAGACACTCCGTCGACTTAAATCCCGCGCCTCCCTCCCTCCCTCCCTCCCTCCCTCGAGCCTTCAACGGTCTCTGCGTCGTCGATCTCATCCGAGGCGGGCGGGCGGGCGGGCGAGCGAGCGGGGCTCGGAGGATCATTCGAGATTCTCCAGATTCCTCGACCGCTGACTTGGCGGCAGTCACTTCTCCTCCTCCTCCTCCTCCTCTTCCATCGTGGCCTCCACTCTGCCGAGTCCGCAATCTCGCGCCATCCTGTGGCGGACATGCGCCGTCCGATCGTCTTGACCCCTGGCCGCTGCTCATTGGCTCCCGACTGACCGCGGTTGAGTTGTGCGCCGCTGCTTCCGCCTCCAGTCCTGGACGGGCACAAGGGCAGGATCCATGAATGCGAATTCATGGATCATTGAGCTTCACGTTTTATAATAATAATAATAATAATGGTCTCTCCTTGAGTGCACTGTGATGCTTGGCTGCTACTCGGAAAAGAGATGCAAGCGATGACTGCAACTGCATCTCTCGTGCTTTTGCGCTCGACGTCGTTAACATTCGGTAATTGCGAATTTACAAATACTTGCACTTTACTGAGTTTCCGTCTGAATCCAACTTCCAAATTCTCAAAGAGAGCTATTTGTGATCGACTGCACGTATAGAAGAACTATGTCTATTTAAGCATTCCATATATGCAGCATGAGAGTCTATTTCCAGTGTTGCATTACGGGGAGTCGACTATATATATTATTGCATTATATATAAAGTAAAAGCGAACGTACATATAGTCGATACTGAGAAGGAAATTTTAAAATTAGTAAAAAAGTGAGGTATATATAGCTAAATTTTTTTATTAAAAAAAATTGTGAGACCACACGATCCGAAAAGTATGATAATATTTCATCAAGTCAAAAAATATCTACATCATAGCAAGCTCTAGCCCCGGGGATGCTTAAGGGACGCACATGCGAAAGACAGAATACAAATATTTTCACATTTTGCCTCTGCGATCTACCCAACTCAACAATAAATGATATCATGAAAGTTAAAGCTGTGTAATCTTCGCTTTCTAGTATATTCACTGTTCCGGTGTGAGACTCTTCAGACCTCATGGCATATTTGGGTTTGAGCGAATGTAACCCCTGAAACTACAATCTAGTGAGGAGGTGACCAACAATCGGAATGCGAAGTAGTTTACATTACCTCAAAATTACTGTTTTGTTTTCAGTGAGTATTTTAATTTAGCTTGATTTTCTATAATTTTTGGAACGAGAAGCCAAGACTAATGTTATTTAGTTCCTGTAACATTATAAACTTAAACATAAAAGACACACTCAGTTCTAGACTCACAGGAGTTAAGGAGTGCATATATAAATAGAAATAGAAATAGAAATATATATATTTCCGAACATCAGTGGCGCAGTCATTTTCGAAATCGACCTTCCCGTCGTTGTTGTCTTATGCACCAGGAGTGCAGTGCAGTGGAAGAGCAGGTTTGCTGAGTCGCCAAGGAAGCACGGTAACGTCCGCATGGCTTCGCCCCTGGCTTTATCTGAAATTAGAGATCGGAAGGCTTGTCTGAAGTCCTTGTCTGAAATTCGAGAGCTCGAGATGGCGCCAGAGCTGAAATGTCTGAAATGGCTCGCCTGTCAGGTCGTGCTCGGCAGAAAAACGACAAGAGATGATGGCATCACGTTCAGCGTCGGTCGTGTGGCAGTGAGCTCTAGTCTAGGGGATCTAGGTCTAGCAGGCAGGCAAGCTGAACGGACACGGTTTCTGAAAGATACTCGAGCGGAACTGTTCGAAGGGGCTTGCTTTTCGTCGCTGTGATTCTGTCTCCCTCCTCCTCCCTCGAGCTCGCGAGCTCAATGCTGTTTCAATCCCCGAGAGAGAGGGAGAGAAAGAAAGAAAAGCAGCGAGCGGCGCCTTGCCTACTTCTGGCACGGTTCTGAAAAAGTGACAGGATATGCTCGATCTTGCCCAAACGACGGACTTCTTCGGAATATGATCGGATTTATCGTCACCCAGGCCCTCTCATTTCTCAGGTTCATCTCCTCTAGTCGAGATCTCGTGCCGGCTGGCGCTTTTTGACCTTTCTCATCATCCTTCATGCTCCAATTTGGCATTTTCTACATCATTTCTTTTCCAAATGGGTCAGATGTACGTACGACTTTGTGATTTGTTCGGCGAGCGAAACCCTCGGCTCTGACAGCAGCATCTTCGAAAACATACCACTCTTTCGTCATTCCTCGACCGATTTGACTTCGTTCCAAGGTTTGAACTTACTTCAGAGGCCCCCTCCTCCCCTTTCCATCTTCCACCTCTTCGTCTTTTGAGAGCTCGAGACCTTCCAGGCACCATTTGACTCGCGCTTCATAGAACTCCAAGTGTACATTTCCGGAACGTACAAGGAACTCTGCCAACATTTCTAAGGCGGACCGCTGCCTTGCCGATATTTTTCTCTGTCACTTTTCCATCTTTGCTACCATAATTAGTACCATAAATTCTCGAGCTCTCGCTCCTGTACGTGGGCTCCAAGGCACCCTTTCATCGGTGGAGGTTTGAGTCCAACAGCAGCATGTGAGCACCTATTCCAATTTGAGCACACTTTTTTAGCGTGCGGCAAGAACTGAGCCGTCTTATAGTTTTCTTACTAACGCACTTTTCGCAGGAAAATTAGAAAATAATCAGTTAATTTAATCGCGAGAATTTCCCATTTAATAAACACCGTCCATACAGAGTGTGGAAAACAGGGGTCAGAGAATTTTCTTCCGAGTTATAATTTTTCATTTTCTTTTCTCTCCATATATGATAAAATTTACTGACATCTCAAAGGACGTAATCAGCCGCCTTTTTGCTAAATATAATGTGGGTCGGATCCAACAATAAACTCGATGTTTGGTTAAATAATATTGTTCTGTTCATAATTTAACATTTGGAGAAAATGGGAGGAAAATCAACCTGCTGCGTGTTTGGATTTATCAACTCAAGCGAAAGACTTTTCGACGCCTGCACATCAAAAGATGGAGGCCTCAAAAATGAATTTGAGTGAACAGGTCACTATCTTTATCTTTAGGTGCATGAACCATTGAAGGTCATAACCTGAAGGCGCTCCTGAGTTGGCCTGTGTGGACTAAGGTCTCAAACGCCCTCACAAACAATACAATGTGTAGCCTTCACCAGAGACTAACCGAAGGGATGGCGGAATGGTCGAAGGAGTAAGCAACCATCAGACTCTGGGGGCTCCACAGAGTCTGAGATCCATCTTGCCTTTTATTTGGAGTCTGGCCCGCCACATGTGCGGATTCTGGTACAGAGAATCAATTCATTGACAATGCTTGTGTCTTGACGATCATCTTCATGAGAGAGTCCTATAATAATAATGTAAATAATGTAGATGCTCCAGACAAGAACAAACCTTACTATTCGGTGAAGAACGACGTTTGCTGGCGACTGGAAACATGAGTTCCAGCGAATAGACAAATCTGATCCATTACTTAGCCCGGGTGGTAGTTTGAGAGACGGCTCAGTCCTACATTTTCAGATTCATACTCTACCTGGTTTCATTTCTTCATAGGGTGTTGTGCACTAGACAGTGAATAATCCTTCTGGATGCTAGGTTTGTTATGAATGGAATTTATTGGAACCATAGCTCTTTTGTTTGTAGTTCATTAACATTGTTATCTCTTTGCTTTCTTTTGTAGGCATATCACACAATGTATGTAAAAGATGTTTATACATTGTTTAATGATGAAATATCATGACTTTTTTTATGTAAAAGAAGTTTATTTATATTTATGTAAGCTAGAATTCTCTACTTAATCAAATCACTCGTCTACATTCGTTCAAGTGAACTTCTGTATAGAAAGATCTTCATTTTCAATAATCAGAATGTTAAATAATATACAATATTCATATATAATTTTTCGTTGATGCCCTGAGCAGTCTAGATTTTTTCTATATTTCTCTATATCTTTCGTAACAATGATCTATTCTTATATTCCAATGCAAAGTGATATTCAAATCCTTTATCACTTAAACTACTACACATATCAATTTTCTAACATGTCATCAGAGTGATGGTTAAATTATATAAACAAATTGCTTTACATACAGAACAGAACACCCTTGATTTAAAAAAAAAAGAAGTTGTTTTTTAAGAGTAATTGCATGTTATTCCATCTTTTTGAATGATATTCATCTTGTTCAGATATGGTCTTTTTCATACCATTCTTATAAATGACAACAATGAGAACATTCTCGCATGGCAAATATAGACCGCGCTATTGATTATGTAACATGAACCTACTCCAATGGAGATAATATTTTCCCACAATTGTCTATATTGTCACATGAAAAGTGAAGAATTTCATGAGTCTATTTGATCGCTGATTTCACACTTTCTAGTACATTATTTGAGGAGCACATTATTCAGAAATGTCGTAGTCTTGTACAAAGTAAAATCTTTATCATTTCATTCATGATGTTTGTCATTGAAATTATCATCTTTGCAACCCCAAAGTACTTTACTTCAAGGTTGAAACTTATTATATCTAGAGATTAGAATTTGCCCGGGAATAAATAGCTCCCTTTGAAAAGTTTCATGTAAACTCCATAATTGGTTACATCCTAAGATCACTTATTTCATGTGATTAAGGGTTTTGATTTTTGGTCTCGAATGAATAGTGATGATTCATTTTGTTGACATTGTAACCCGCAATGGAATAAACTGAAAAAATCTTCATCTTCAAAACTTATTGAGTTATGGAAGATGATTTCTGGGTAATTAGATCCATGTCAAATCCCAAGATGCATGAGTAACACTAAAAATGATAGTAGAACCTACTCGCGATGATCCATGCACCAAAAGTTATAATATGATGATAATAAAATGATTTTCCATACCTAGTAAGCATTTTTTTATCCTCTTTTGCAAGAAATTAGCCATGTAATCCAACTTCTAAGTACTTGACCACTTCTGTACACTCGGGGGATGTTAATTTGATGACTCCTCCGGCACCTGCGTGAGAGATCAATTACATTGTCTATGTGATTGTTGTATGTTTATTTGTAGTCTTTGGGTAGATAATCAGCTATTGTATTCACCCATACACAGGCTTCTTCAAATAAGGAACTTGAGGGCCAAAGTGACGTATTTCGTTTTCAGAAAGTTACATATTTCCAACAAAAAAGTCTTTGTTGTCTAGGTGTCTTTACTAGAGACGGTAACGGAGTCACTCAACTAAAACTTTGGGTTGACATTATTGGACAATATCTTCGTTGATCTAGGTGGTTTTACTAGAGAAACTAAGTGAGTACTCGACTAAAACTTTGCGGCAACACTTGATTCAACCAAGCAAGTTTTAGTATTTTGTTTCCTTGTTTACGGTAGTAACTTGTAGCTTTGAAAACACAGAAAATTATTCAACTAGTTCTAAAAGATAGTCTCAAACTTTCTTGGAAACAAAATGACATAGATAAAATAGTGAATCCGGAACATCATTACGAAGTCGACGTTTTCGGTTCACAAAAATCTGTTGACTGAAAAGTCTGATTCCAGGTTTTAAGAATAGATTTCTTGAACTCATGGAATTTTTCGTAAGATTAGTTTGATCATTTTTGAACACTTATACGGTGTGGAGAGTGATATTCAGAGATTAAAGATAACACCCATTTCTCTCGAAGGTGTATTATTCGGCCAACAAATTCGGCCGAAAACATGAGAGTTTAGGTCAAGATTCGGCCGAAAATTGTCAAATTCCGTATATCCCGTATTTTGATTTGAGAATTATCCTTATTTCGTTGAGATACGAAACATACGGAATCCGCCGTATATAGAGAGGTCTGCCCATACATATAAATACATAGCTCAATGTCAACCGTTTCGTCAACAGGTAATCTCTTTCGGTCACGTAAGTATGGAAATGATCAGACGTGTGACGTACTTTCATAGACTTATGCTGTTGAGGAAGTTTAAAAGAAGTGATATCGGTGCATCCTTTCTGAAATGAAATAGCCAAGTCTCTCGATGCGATCCTCCCTCAGAGGCATCCAGTAAGATGCCCGTGTATCACAATTTCTTAAGCAGACCTCTGTATAGAGGGCTGTTCCCCAATATTGATCTCCACAGTAGTCAGGCCTGCTCTTCCCACTACTTCTGACTTGCGTTGCCAAGTAAACAGGATTATGTGGAGCTGTGTTACGTTTGAATATTCGAGACTTGGGCACCTCCGCTTCATGATTTCTAAAACAGAACAATTCCATTAACAAGGGACGTGGTACACCCATGTCCCTGTTAAAGACAAGGTACAAACGTGTTCCATGTTCCTTGGGACCTCCGGGACACTTTCATGTTTCAAATCTTCCTGCTGTATGAGATTTCTCATTTGCTAGGATATATCTCAACCACCAACGTCAAAAATTTGAACAGCGTTTAGAAGAGGAAGAATTACGAAGCACTAGAGATTAGCTTTGTCAACATAAGCATCACAAATGTATCAGGAATAAATTCCCACAATGGAGTAGGTCCACGTCAAAACTATCCATCAAACTTGGGAAGGTCAGTGGACCTTCGATTGGGAATTTCCCATATTTACAAATACATTTGTCACCAATATTCACAAGTACATGTCATAATGTCACTAGAGGGTTGGCATGTTTCTCACCCCTCACATACTAAGCAATGGCGTTCCACGTTCTAATCCAACTACCTATCTGCACGACTTAATTGTACATGGACTACGTTCAGACTGAAGGCAACCGGACATACATCTGTAACTTCGTAACGCTCCTACACACCACTCTAAATTTGGGCGTGCGTATCTTCTCCTTGATCTCTAAAGAAGGCAATCATGCTATCATAAATGTCAGTTTTGGCGCGGGTGCTCAAAACAAAATCAATGTGCCCGTAATTCTCCACGTAAATGAGCTCCGGCTTGCATTGTAGTTCAGAAATTGTGTGGGCTACGTCTACTGCATCTGCAAGAGCATCGTTACCGCCCCAAGACATCCAAAGAGACATAGTCGCTGGAATCTGGGCCAGATCATAGGAGGGAGGAGAGAACCTGTAATAGTGCAATAGATTTCCCAGTCTCCCATAGTCATACTTAGCGAATGTTCCACTGCGGATCACTGCAGATACATATGAAATTGTCAGCAAAAGAGTTCAAGTGAACGAGAAACTGAACCTCGGCATCACCTGAAAAAACGAAAGAGACATAAACATGGACGCTTGATAAACATTTACCAAACTTTTGTCAACTTTTTTCATATATATTGTGTGGCCTGTTCTACTCAGCATGTATCTGTTATTCTACAATGAGCAAGGTGCAAACCATAGTAGAACAATCAATTTAGCTAGAGCTTCTTCGGATGCTCCTGTATTATGTAGAGCGTGTTATGAGAGATCTCAGGTGCAATGGGACAAATTGATATTTGTGATGCTATTGGGGCCAGCCCCATGTTTTTGGTTCCCTCCTTGTACGACCTGGTGGGATCGTCCAATCCTCTTTGCTTTATAACTCGGTTTCCCTACAAAAATAACTAAATAACTAAAGATTTTTCACATATCTCGTTAAAGATATGTGAATAAAAATAAAGATAAAGATATCTTACTTTGAGCAAGATGTGCAAGATTCTTGAGGGACGTTGAGTGTGGTTCGTATTGCAGATAATAAGGTATACGCGACTCGTTGAAACAGCAGTTGGGACCTGGTTAGAGTCACAAGAGAAAGGGAAAGGTATGAACTCAACAAACCAAACAAAGTTTGAGCAAGATATACATGGATACCACTGGGGAGAACTGCACTCCATGTGAAGCAACCCAGAATCTCTACACTGCGGAAAATGGAAAGTAAATGCAATTTTCTCACTGACGATATCTGTAAAATGAACAAATTATTAACAAATTAAGCCAAGGCACTGGAATCACAAACCTGTAAGAGCTGCCAAAAGATTCCCACAATCGACTATGGGTGACGCACAAACCCGATCAACTAACTCTACCCCAAGCTCACTGCAACACAGAACTTTGTAAATCCTTGTTAGCTATAACCTCCGCTAATTTTTGAAACCAAACAAGTTCCGAATCCATCGAGGGAATTCGCAAATACTAGTCTTTATATTATGCATGCCCTAAATTCATCGTAACCACCACCAGGAGCAAAATGTCGTGTCCCATCTAGTAGAATCTTCAACAAACTACTCCAGAAAAATTAGGAGGTCCCTAAAATGTCCACTTCCCAAGCTAATCAATTTGTAGTATTCATGACATCTTCACTCGCTCCTTGTTAACAAAGAGGTGCAGACAATTCAGAAGTTTTTTCTGAAGATCAAATACAACTGACAGACTTACTTGCGCAAATTGAACTCGTGCACACCCATGGTCTTCACCATCTGTAAAATGCAGTTCAATCATCATCAACCTATCACTGTTGGTGTGGTTGAAGGGAACGTAGTTGAACAAGAAATATAGATGAACGAGAATTTGTTGTTCGCCTTATCTCGATGAACAAACAAGAAAAATTGTGGGTAAATGATGGTCTTCTAAACTTGCGAAAGGCGTATAGGCATAAATGTCTGGCTAGTTATCACGAGGATGACAGAAATCCGACAAACATGTATCATAGGTTGACCGTGACAAGGAGCAGACAAACACAATGAACAAAAGGTACCTTCTCAATATAATAGTGGGCCGCAACGTTGAGAAATGCAGAATTGATGTGATTCAAGTAAGTGATCGGGCTCAGTAATGCTGCCGCAGCGACAAATTCTCCGACCTTGTCTTGAGTAAAAGCTGCTAATCCCATAATGGTTCCCTACAATTCACCAGTATTGCACGTTATATGCAAGCTTTCCGACTGGCACAATAAATCGATAATATACCTTAACTATTCGCCCCTCTGCTGTACCAGTAACATCCGTTGGTCCATTGGACCAAAACTACATCTACTCATAAACAAATACAATGTTAAAACAAGTCAGAATCGCTCTTGTATGTGTACAGAAAGCTAAACGATGGGGGCACAAAACCAGCATGGTCTCTTGTTGCACGTACCTGAGAGTGACCAACGTACAGGACTTTACGACCAGTGATCTTGTAAACAAATTCGAGCATTGCTGGTAGGTCGTAAGCGGCCAATTCATCCCAGCTCCAGTCCCAATAATCCTGTGATCCACATACAGAGCTTAGGAACCCACGTTTGTGAACAACATAAATCCATAAAACGGCTTTAGTATTACGAACAAAGGCTTTGCAAATAATGTTTTGATGGTACGAGTTTCAACTGAGAATCTACATACACATCAGCTGATCACTAATGGGAGCATTCTCAACTACAATTCACGAGTTTCAAAATGTTCAAATTCATTGTTATATCTACCTTGTCCTCTCTTGACATGGATACATGTCCATAGCTCCAGCGTGTACCGCGTATATTACCCAACCAGACATCAAACCCCGCATCTGCAAGAATGTAACCAAGAGACTCGTCTGGGTTGTTCAGAACCCAAGTATCTCCACCCTGCTCATAAAGCAAGTAGTGACGAAAGAGCTCATTAAAATCAAAATAACGTAAAGCTCGGACTCGGAGGGTCACTCGAACCACTTGATTAGATCATAATCAGGAGTCGTGACTCAAACTCTGTCATTCCTTCGACGTTATATTTGGCTGCTGCAATGAAACAAACATGTCGGGAGACATTTAAGAGATATGGACTCCGCCTGTTGTTTCCGCTGCACGGTGGAATGATCAACACTCAAGAGTCATGCAGAAGACTAAACCCTGGAATATGCACAATCCAGAAGGCTTCGGTCTGTATAGCTACGTCGTCATATACTCTTCTTCTCTATAAACAAACGCAATGCAGCACTTGTATCAAACATCTGCTTCAAATCTTGTAATCAGCTTGTTTAACTAAACTCCTCGGAAGGATGAGCCATCAAAGATACACAGTCAAACGTTACTCGAGAAAAGAGATTGAAATGCAGAACATGCAGATTCAAGGTACGAAGAGCTCACTTGTACGAGACCATGTTGTAGATAGACAGGAGGCCGGGACCAACTGCGATCCTTTACTTCCTCATTATAGCCATAAGGAATACGATAGAGACCTAGCAGGTAGCCATCGTCCGTGGTCACCTTCAACATGGAACCGGTTCCAACTCAAATTAGGTTTTAACGACAAATTTCTCCTCTGCTTCAGTCGGAAAGGTTTGAAGCACCAACACAACGATAATGGCATTGCAAGGGAACAAGGGACAAGACAAAACTAGACACTTGAGCAGATCTATATAATTCTCAGTCTCGAGATGATACAACGTAGTCCAGGTATGATCCAGCTTACATAGCAATGCGGTACTTCTCAAATACGAAGGATATATTCAAAAGCCTTGAATAAGGTAGCAGGCTAACTTTGTATAGTATCGCAAGACATCAATACTATCGAAAGTCTGTATCAAATAATCACCCGTCTTACGTACAAGTAAATCTCTTCTCTATAAGCTTCGAAAAAATGTTAAACCATTTTGGGACATTATTTTCTGAGCTGCAGCGATGAAGCAACCTGGTTTTGCAAATCAGCATTCCGACGATCACCGTGGGGCAGCCAAACAAAATATTTCTGGAGAGCCCAAGGACACGAGAGAAGAGAGGAGCCAGAAATCCATGAACGTAAAATCGTCTTACCGTAAAGTTTTGACAAGGATAACCCATTTGTAATACAATCTGCTTGCAAATATCCCATGTCTCAGATTTGGCGCCAACGCAAAGTTGAGGTAACGCCAATAACGCCACCGACGACACCAGCAGTAACGAGAACCATTCTTCCATCCTTCAGGTTCGCTTCTCACACACGGCACCTCACACTTTCTGGATGCCGATCGGTCCTGGGCTCCCAAGTACGTAAGATGGGAACAAATTTCACTGCATGGCGTTAAGCTTGAAGTTCGACCTTAAACAGCCTTCTCTCTAGCAGCAATTCACTTCAGATGTTGTGTATGCGACATTATCGGCTTTTACAGGTGGAACCATCGAAAGGAGCAACACACTCCGAGAAACTTGTATCTTCTGAGACAGACTGCTTCTCTCAACCACATAGTGTTGCGGATACTCAAAACCTTGAGAAATGTGACAAAGAACTCCAGAGACGGGATCGATGGAACAAAAATGACCGTCACTCAATTGTCAAATTCAACTCCAGAAAATTGGCATGCATTCATCCAATTCTTCACTCGTCACCAATTCAACGCCAACGAGAATATTCAGCCAACTAGCCGCCCGCCCAGCCAGCCTCTCGAAGAATTCAATTCCGCAATTCCGCCCAGACAGAGATAGTCGCCATCTCCTCCGCTGCTCTAACTCCGAGCACCGAATTCACATACCACTCTTCCAAAGCCAGAGCTCCCAGAGCCACCACCGCACCGCGCAATTGTGAGGACGACGGCGCACTTTCTGGTGTGATCACGAGGTTCCAAAAGCGCGCCCGGAATCACGATTCCGTGTCAAGATTAGCGAACAGAAGCTGCGATCCTGACGAACGCACCACCTCAAAAAAAATCATAAAATTTGCCGACCGAAAGTGGCAATTGGAAATTAATGCAGACGAACTCTGAATTTGGAGACAAGCGTTCCATTCGGGGACATGTTCTTTCCAGCGCTGCCTCTATCCGTGCACGTCACGTCGGTGGGCCATAGGCCCGGGCTTTGGATAACTGATCCGTTATGGTACAGTGGCCGGGACACTGTCCCTTCAAGAGGACTGTACCATCCTCTCCTTGTCTTGGGGAAGTAGTCGATGTGTCACTCGAGGTACCACTTTTGTGCATCGATCGGCCCTCGGAAAAGATGGAATTCTTTTCAAATCATTTCACTTTTTCCATTTTAGTCCACACCTTTTTCGTAAATTCTAAAATTTCTGATGACCTTCGGCCCAAGCTCCCAAGATGATCTTCAATTTTTTGGTAAAAATACACAACTTGGTGATCATCAAAATCTCTTTGGCTATTTACATGTTTACATGAATTCCTTAATTTTGGAATTGAAAAATCTTTAAGTACGGATCGGCAAGGTTTAGTATAACTTAGTTCTATAATATAGCGAGCTTAAAAGGAATTACTTTTATCACTTGTAGCCAATGAAAGGGAAGCCTCCCTCTCATTGGCTAAAGGAATTTATGTTACATATTTAGTCAAATATGTTGTCATGAATATGGCTTTTGTAGAGCATGTTAAATCAAAATTAAAAAGAAAGGTGGGATTACAGGATTAACTGCTGTCTTGTTAAATATAATTATAAAAACTATGGTTAGATCAGTTCATGAGGTTAGTAAGTTGCTAACCTTATGAAGTCTCTTTTGGTGTACGTTCAATCTATAGATATTTATGAACTTTGAGTTTCTGGTAAACTCGCTAGGTTGTTACCATGATAAGTATAACTTGACCAGTCCAAAACATCAAATTAATTTACAACTTTCTCCATATGAAAATCTGAAGAAGCTCTAATGTCTAACAAATTTACCCATAATCTCTAGTCGTGTCATCTCTAGAAGATTTAATCCATTTTTTTTTATCAAATTACTTGGAGATCTTAGACGATCATAATACGACATAAAAGTTGTAAGATCTAGATAGCAATTGTTATAATACCCCTTTTGTTCTTGGAGAATGGTCGATGGAATCTTACTTCTCGCACTTGAAACAGTTACCAAGAATAACTCAAAGAAATCACTAGAATACTCATGTAGTAGAAACCCTCTTGGAATTGCTCAGATCTCATCCTTGACAAGACTCTTGAATATATGGGTGAGGTTTTCGATAGACATGGAAAGAAAACGATCTATCAAGATTATAGTGACTCTTTTAGTTGATACTTCAAGAGTTTTCATCGAATATCTCCTTTCAAGGATGTATATACCTTGAAGAGGTATAATAATTCAACTCTCCATATTGAAGGGTTTACGTAGTCTTCCTATGCTCTTCAAAGATATCACCCCCAAATTGTGTACCACGCATTACTCTGTATAAACCGTTAGAAAAAGTGAATTCTATCTGGCTCAAAGGTACCGATAAATGACACTTACTACTCTATCGTGTATCTGCTTTTCAAAGCACAACCAAAACTGTTCAACTCTCTTATTCCGTCGCTCCTACGCATTGTGTAGCACATTGCTTGTTATATCGGTCATCAGAGTCGTCATTTGTCGGGTAAGCAAAACTAGGTGAGAAGATCGCCGAGCTACACCAGGAGCCATAATAGACAAAAGTTGTGACGGCTCATGACAGATGGAGGAAAGTACACAGCAAGGCGTTGGAGTGAATTCAATAGAATCCTAAGAATATGAAATGGTGGAGAACTAAGCGTGCCGTGGACTGAAGCCTATGAAGGACAAACACGAGTACTTCCTACAAGTTGGTCGATCCCACTGCAGGTCTGGCTTATATGTATGGAGTTCAGAACTAACGAGGGAGATGCATGATCATCTGCAAGCAATCATCGTAACTGCGAATGAATCCCAACAGTGCAACCATTGAATGGACGCTTGTTCTTATATTCATAAACCTTCAAGTGGAAGAAAAGTTCAACAGGAGCTGGATACAGTGGTCGGATAAAAGAAACTAATGGAAGAGGGTGACTTGCCTTTGTTGAAATATGTGCATGCCTGTGACAAGGAATCCTTTGTCTCCACCCTCCACCCTTCATCTTCCCTGCTCATACCTCAAGAAACAAGCTTGGCTTGCACCAGAGCAATCTACCTCAATCATGCATACACTCAAGTTGTACATCAATTCGCCACCTGGAGTGTTGTAACCGTGTTGAAGAATTCCCACATATGCTTGGCCGCAGACGTTGTTGGATGCCCTCATGCCCATGGACGTGTTCCCATAACCATTCACTTCTAGAAGGTCTACTTGCACCACGTTGGTGACATCCCAGTACAATCTTGTGCCTAAGTATCTCTCGATAGACGCTAGATCATCCACCTCTACCATGTCTCCTGCAGCCATGTGAAACATATCTAGATTTATGCGAAACAGAACCTTCCATCCTTACAGTCTGAACCGACATAACCATAAGTTGTGGTTGTGTAGGTTGTGTAGCACAACCCATGGGAAATTTCTATAGATAGAAAATGTACTATTAACCTTTCAATGCGCCTATATGGTCGTAAGTCCATCCAGATATTTCCTTCCTTCTCATACGTGAATATTTGGAAAAATATTTAGTTACTGTTCGTTCCTTGTAAGACTTCATTTCAGGAAATTCATCATAGGAGACTTCATCGTTATGACATAGTTCCTCGTGAGATTATGTAATCTAAATTGTTGCCTACTGCAAAACAAAATGTCATAGAGTTTTCTGAAAGTATATCGTCTCTACATTCCATCTGAAAACAACACTGCAATGAGTCAATCAAGACTTATTGCAGTCTTGATTGACTCACCCATGGAACAAATAGTACACATCGGTACATGCAAACGATTAAAAGTCGGGCTTCTACTATTTCCACTCAGAATATCAGAATCAATTTGTATTATTCTTCTTGACCACCATGCGCAGAAGGGATACAAAATTGAAAAGAAAAAATTCTCACTGGACCACAAGACACCATAAATTAAATGCGAGTACTTTGAAATCGCCCCAACCTCATTTTCCTTTTGGGGTGGTATGAACTCCGGCATATTCATATAGCATAATCACATACAATGTTGACAGTGTAAACTCACATCTTACCATAGATCATCCGCAAAAAAATATCCATCACTGCCAACCCTACAAAGCGTGAGGACCCGCCGGCTCTTAATACGTGAGCGGCAGTCAGAAACTAATTTGTGAGCTTGTGTGTGCTGCCCGTCAACTCAGTCGCATCGTTTCCGTCATTGTCAAAGGCAGTTGTCACAAGCTTCTAGATCCAATACTTCTATAAGACGACCATTTCTCATTTCTTCCCTCCACCAGAAACATTGAACTTGAAGAAAATAATGTCTCCATCTTGCACAACATATAATTTTCCTTCTTGCTTGTACTTCCCGGCGGCCTATTCAAGCACAAAGAAGAATTAGTGTTCGATATCTTAAATAACGGTGTGACTTTCCATCAAAAGAAGCATTCCCTGTTACCCATATGAATCTTAGATAAAGACGTAAATCTGAACCAAGTAGCATCAGGCCGGACGTTACCTTCACAGCAGACTCACTTCCAAGCTCCTTCAAGTCCTCAAATTTCATCACCTGAAAATAATAAAAATTCGTTATTATAGTCAAAGATTCATCGACAAGATGACAATTTGAGAACAAAAGTGTAGACAACAAAAACCTCACTCGTAAACAACCGAAGTGGTGAATACGAAAGACTGCTCAAAATGGCGAGGTTTTCTATTCTACTATAACTTAAATATGATGAGTACCTCAGCACAGATGAAACCCTTCTCGAAATCCGTATGAATGGTACCAGCCGCCTGCGGCGCTTTAGACTGTTTCCGGATTTGCCAACATTTAACCTGCACACACATATAGGACGAAAGAAAACCCCTTATATAATTCCACTTCAGGTAATATATAAAACTAAATACCTGACAATAGTAACTGTAATTCAGTCGAGTCCAAGCGTCTCAAAACACGGTGAGCGATAAGTTCCACGCACCTCATCTGGACCAGCAGTGAAGAAGTAAATGAGATTGATAGCTGCGAATCCTGTCTTGATGATCTTGGGCAGAGCACTGTTCAATCTCAAAACAAACATCCTTCGATAAGAATCCATGGCGCAATCGCCCATTAAGGATTATGGTGCAAGTAAGTGGGTCAAATGGTTGCAGCAATGAGCCCTATCTCAACTTTGGGTGCTTTGAAAGCTTTTATGCAAAACAATTGTCAAATACTTGCAAACTGTGATAGTTCTTCAATCCAACTAAATCCTAGTGTATTTCACAAGATGGTTAACGGGGTATAAGAATGACTGACAAGAGAAACAGGCCTAAGAGCCCTTCATCACACACCTAATGATCTCGTTCTCTTTGCAATATTTTGCTGCCTCGTCTTCAGGCATATCCGTCAGTTTCTGTTCAAAGGCGGCACTGAACGGAATGATGGTTTCACCTCCGTGTTCTTGAACCCTAAAACACAGTAGAGTTAGCAATTGTCATAGAGGTTAGTATTCTCGGAAGACCTTCACGCAGATTGACAGAAGAACTTTTACCCGAGCACTACCCTGCCTTTTCATAGTACTAACGATATGAGAAAATATCGATATGGGGTGGGCTTATATGCTTTAAGTAGGTTTACCAGCCATGAATTTTGGCAAGCCACTTATTTTTCTTCCTTTGATAATCCTTCTCTGTAAGGTTGACCTGCAAAATTCACAACCGACAATAATACATCCCTTTAACACCGAAGAAAGATTCCGAATAACGATTTCTAGTGACTTAACAGTTCAAGATAAGAGAGCTCTGAAACCACTACACAAATATCACTCAATCTCCATCAACAAGATCGAACTAACATGTTCGACTCAGTTTGATCGTATTCAAACTAAAACAAAAATGGGACAAGAAAGTAAAGAATTTCCAGGGAAAGCTGGCGCACCAGGTAGACTACAGATTTCGCTGATAGTAGTTGAAATGTATTCAATATCTCCACTTCAGCGGCCTTCCACTCACCCAATCTCACATCTTTGCCTTCCTTTAGCCAATCTTGGACCTGTTCAGATAACAAGGATTGAAAGAAATGTGTAAACTTGAATGAGCTACGATGAACCCCGAAGTCGCAAGTTGCAATTGGACAACCGTTAGTCCTTGACATGGCAAAAGGTCCGCATCTATCAGCTTTCTTAAAACATAGTACTCATTTCGTGAAGTGTGGATCGTAGGGCTACTCCTTGCAGACGTAAATACCTTGGGTCGGTATGTGTGTGAAGAAACATGAAAATCCAAGAAACTTCGCCTTCCCCCTTGAAGCATTTGGAAGGAATGAATGAAAATGGGAAGGAAAAGGAGCTGAAACCCAAATTGGCTCTCGCAGATTGCCAAAACGTGAAGGGGGCAGGGACAGGAACATACGAAAGTTGGAAAGAAAAATTGAGGAATTATTTCCCAGGAATGAAGGAGAATGCAGGACCCGATGTAATTAATACAACCAATAGCAAAGTTGAGAAAATGGAAGCATCTAGACAGAGAACAACTACGGAGGAAATACATGTAAAAAAAGCTCCAAGCCTAACTACATTCTGATGCTCTGACAAGTTCGAATCAAGAAAGATATACACTTTCGCGCTAAACGTGGATATACTTTCAAATGCACGAGAGCTTGGTTGCATTTGTCAAACCACAGGAAGAAATGTTCACGACAAAGTGATTACTGTAACTCTATATCTGAGTTCTCATGGATACAAATTACCGCTAATTATGGGCATACCTTCACGCAGCACTCCATCTCCACTTTCAGCTGCTTGTCATTGCTACGCTTCATGGCCTTCTCTAGATCCTCAACTTTCCTCGACATAAACTCCAAATCCTGTAATGACAACAGCAAGAAAAGGTCATGATGTGTAATTGTCCAAAGTAACATTACGAAAGAATATTTGGTACTCATATTGAGACTGAAAAGCAGCAACCGTCATTACGAAAATACCTTCAGTCGCAATTCCTGTGTGATGACCTCCAGATCACGAATGGGGTCCACGGTATCTTCGACGTGAATGACATCGGGATCATCAAAGGCTCCTAGTAGACCAAAATCCAGTTATAAGATAGTTAGTTGCACGACTCAATTTCTCCTAATGAAGTAAATACACTTCAGATTTTAAACATAGTTCATTCCAATTTATTAAACTCAAAAACTTATTTCTTCCAACGTAAACCATTAACACCAAGATCACCGCTCTTTGTCAAGACCCGGTTAAAAGCATGTGTACTTAAGTGTCTTAAACCCTCATAACTGTATCAGACGCATTAGTACGAACTATAAAAACAGGAGAGCCTCTTTGAGTGCATTGCCTCAGAAGCAGCTCAGTTGAAGTGAAGTTCAGTGCAGTTGTTGAATAATTGCATCCTCGAACTTAAAACGAGGCTCACAAAGAGAATATTGTAGATAGAGAAGTCAAACATTCATTCCAAAATCCATCCCCTGATGGTCTTATTTCTCCAGCCATATTTCAGCTGATTTTCACTTCACGTACAATCAATACAAGGTGGACACTAGACTAGTTTTCGTATCCAAGTTAGAGACTGCTTACTAGTGCATTGACGTGTACTTCGCTTTCGGACATTACTACCGTGCACTTAAGGAGAGTTGCACTATTTGAGTGCATCGATTCGAACATTGGTACGTCCTTACGTCCAGATTCATTCACAACATGTTTCAGCTTGCCAGTATATGTGACCCAAAAAACTCCCAAAAAAAAAATCCAAAAAGCGTGAGAACGTTTAAAATCATAAGACAAGAGACATACTTATGACATGGAAAATTCCGTCCACGGCACGGATATGCGACAAAAAGTTGTTCCCCAGTCCTTCGCCCTCGTTTGCTCCACGGATCAATCCAGCGATATCGTGAATTTCAAGGAAAGCTGACACCTAGGAAAACGACATTCAAGAATTCATCAACGACCAGCAGTGCGGCCTCGGCTGAACACTCTACAGGTGATGCCTCAAAACGCTCACAAAGAGAACCCAGTGCAAACTTTAAAAGAGCAAATGAAGGTTCAGCTGATGGCAATGAAAGGTCTCACCTCACTCTTGGGCTTAAATAGCTGACACAGCCAATCAAACCTCTCATCCGGTATGTTCACACGAGCTTCATTTGGCTCAATTGTACAGAAGGGAAAATTCTCAGCTGGGATGGACAATTTGGTCAAGGTGTTGAACAAAGTAGACTTTCCAACATTCGGAAGTCCGACCTGTACATTCCACACTCCTATAAGGACACTGAGGCCATGATCCGGATTTCCGAGAAAATTCGCCGACAACAATACTGAATGAGCCACAGGCATCCTCTAAAATTCTCAACGCGACACGCCCATGATTAACTTTGCACGCAGCACAGAAGCTGACATCCCGAACCAGAAGCAGACATCCCAAACTTTCGCTATCTTCAATCCAACACAAGCGGCAGAAAGAGGACCAAAATGCCGCGACAGATGAAATTGACGGCATCCAGACAAAATCTCCACAGGGAATTTACTCACAATACCAATCTTCAAATGTGAAGAAAAGCGCCCTAAAATGGGGCGTTCGGCAACAACCGCTTTACCCTTCGCAGCAACCTTGGGAGGCATGGCTGCAGACTTCGCCTCGAGAATTGTCCAACTTCGCGGCTGATGGCGACCACTGCTTCGCCGGATCCAGCTCTCTCGAACCCAATGGAACAGCTCAGGCCTTCTTCGCCACTCTCGGCTCTCGGATTCCTTCTCTTCTCTTTCTCGTTCGCTCTTCGCTTTCCCTCTGCTCCTCGCAAACCCTTCTTGGAGACACTCGTCCTGGACTACGGTATTGCCCTAAGAGACGAGAGTGACCGTATTTCAGTATATTTAGATCATCGTACGTATGCCTCCTGCTGGTTTATTCCGTATTTCACTTCGTTTCTGGGAAATAGGTCGCGCAATTACTGTGCAGAGTTCGTTTTCCGGTTTATAATCGATATTTCCCAATGAGATTGCACATCTTAATTGAAAGATGTCGAGCAAAAATCACGTACAGACATTGGAGGTATTTAAAGTAAGTTCCTCGCGAGATACGGCAGATCAGATAGGCTTGTAATGCTTTGACAGGCTCATACAAGGTACCATGTATGTTCATGAAAGTGACATCTCCTGTAAAGCGATCAGATATTTTGTATTAATCGATCGGATTATATGTTTCACACCAGCGTAAAAATACTTATTCACGCCTTGCGACTACTGAATTTTCCCTATGAGGGAAAAAACAGAAACAATTTCAGCTTTTGAAACAAATCTGGTGTTGGTTATCATGATTAATTTTCTTAAATGGCAGAGTTTGTTATTTCCCTCCATGAAGAAGCTTGCATAAAACATTATATAGAGGTACAAAATAAATGAGATAAATGAATGAATAGATATATATACCTATACTAGCTTACACCCGCCATTAAGTACTCCGATATAGTCTGACATAACAAAGTACAATTTTCTTAGAGAAATTGAGCAGAGTACAAGATAGTCAACAATGTCGATAAACAGAACCACCACACTTAAGACAACACCATTCCATAGTGGCTATGTATATGGCAATCTCACGATGAACGAGATGGACAACTGCGTCTCGACTTAAACCGAGCCCCACAATTCTAAACACTACCATGTCATTTGTAGAATTCACACATTACAACAATATTTTTTCATACATACTCATGATCGAAGAAAATGCTTTATCGACACTCACTTGTCTCTCTACTACGATCACACAGCTTTCCGACAGACAAAGGTAATTAAAGCTGGAGGACGTTCAACAATCCACAAAAGCGCATTTGCAACCTTCCAAGCCAATTACTTACCATGATATTATCACCAGTCTTCTCGGCCAAGCCACCAATACACTTCACACATGATCAAGATCAATCGTAATCTTGACACTCCTAGAGCATGATATCCAATCGAAAGTCGAAAGGGCTACCATTCTATATGTTTCTAGTGATGCTTGGATGCCAGTTTTTCTATTGGCTATTGCCACAAATACAGCAGAACCTACTCAAATGAGGTGCGCCATTAGCTAGAGGTCCGTAATCACAAACTTGGTTTGGACTTTCGTGCCAGCCTCGAATTTACCATCCATGGCGCTGTCGCAAATGATCGTCTCCTGTTCGTTGCAGTACAGTCGAAGTTTTCTTGGGCATCGAGATTTTGAAGTTTTCCACCGGAAGCATGGATCAAACGGCTGGGAAGCTTTTGTTAGAACACTTTGTCACACATAAAATGTGATGGGATAATTGAAGAGAGCTGTGGTCTTAGTTGTTCAAATCTCACACGCAGTTCAGTCCTCTGCCCGACCACTCGCATGAGTACGCAAAGATGATCCTTTTTGTCTCCCTCCAGGATCCTAGAACGAGTTGCATGCACACAGCAAGAACAATGATTGGATGCAAGCACAACCAGGATAACCATCACCGGACACGGCACTTGAAACTCGAGGGTGTAAGCCCTTGCTCCAATGTGAGATATACAGATTACGGCCAGCACGATAACATGCTTCGCTAGGTGGCTGAAGACACATCATATATAGCTTATCCACCTAAAGACAACAATGCTTCGGCTTGTCCCGAAAGTGTATCAATTTTCTTCATAAGTCTCAAAGGTATCTTGGGGACGACCATTAAAGATGAAAGTACAATCCTATTCTCAACTCTTTCAAACCTGTTACAGCGTGTATACAGCTTGACTGAGTTTACTGCCCAAAACATATCTCTGAAGATGTCTGTGCATTCAGTACGAATTCAATTCATTCCCTATCTGTCTTCTAAGAAGACGTTTAAAAACATTTTATTCAGGAACCAGCATTTTCCTGGGCACAATCTTGAAAGATGAAGTTCGCCAGCACTACCCATATAGAGAATATCGGACTCTGGCAACCGAAACAGAGATTTAATTACCATTTACAGGTTTATGACACAAATGAATAACAGTGAACTGTGGGCCTCTCGCAAGCCAAACGAAGCTTCAGAAGGTATCTAAATACTGAAGTCAAAAAGACGTTCAGACCTTCATATCAGCTATGTGAGCGAGGTTGACGACCATGTATGGAGTGTGGCACTCTAAACAAACATCATAAGCTCCGGTCTACTGTAGACATTATAGCCATCATCTTCTAATACTGGATAAGCTGCTACTAATCCATCCTGGGATCCGATGTACAATGAGTTGTATATTTTCCAGTAAACCTCCCGTACCTTCCTCGCAGGGTGGAAAAGCCCCTGTAGGCAGTAACTCAGCAAAATAGCAGGACCCAGAGCCACTCGCATTCCCTCTATAGCTTCCATCACAGCATTGATAACATGAGGGGATGTCTCAAAAATGTTGGGCCACACATAGTTCAGGAGATGAATCAAAGCATCTTCACATCCCAAACCTGCTACACCGAGGGCCATGTGCTTCACAGCCGATGCAGCAGTTTGTCGGTGAACAAGATCCCTGTCCATCAATGCATCTTCTAGCAGAGGGGTGACGGCATAGATGTAATCCTTTCCCATCTCCCCAATGTACTCAAACAGGAAGGACAAGGATTTCAACACACCATTTTGCACGTTCAACTCTGGAACACGGTACTCATTCATCAGAGCTGGCAAGACGGTGAATGGAGAACAGGTCTCAGCGACAATTGCAATTGCCACAGTGGTGCAGACACGGTTCTGTCGCTCCTGGACCTTTAGGTTGTTCAGCAAGGTGGCGAGCACATCTTGCGGACCAATTGCCTTGGCTATATACCCAAAGGTATTCACAGTAGCTCTTCGAATGCCCTTTTTGTGTGCTTTCAGCATCTCCAACAACTCGAAGCATATCCTCATCCACTCACGCGCAGGCACAAACTCTGCTCCCCTGTCAGCAATCCTACCGACCAAATCGATACAATTCTCCTGCACCTTCTCGTGTCTGTTCTTCAATATAGGAGTCAGACGAGGAAGAAGATCCTTAATAGGTGGAGTCATCTTCGTCATACCTATGACGTTCACTATAGCCTTCAGTGCTCCTAAAATGGAACCGAGTACTTCTGGATACTCCTCCCCGAGGTATTCGTACAACACCACTCCCAAATGCCCCATCAACTGCTCTTCGTGGCACTGCTTCATGACCACTGCAATTCTGGCAATAAGGTCTGCGGCTTGTTGTCGAACCTTGGCACTCTTGTTGTTAAGTCGCCACTTAATAGTACCACAAATCTGAGGCAAGTATGGCTTCACTCTTTGCCCCAAAGCATTCACAACCGTGCCAAAACCATTAAGCATAACATTCGCGTCATCACTGGTTTGCTCTTGAAATGCGTAAAGAATACCATCAATCAGCAGCTCTTCCAGACGAGCATCTATATCCGACGCACCCAAGTTAGCCACCACCTTCTCAATGGTCTCCATGACCATTCTTCGGTAAGGCTCACTCTCGTCCTTCAAGTCCTCGACTACCCTGCCTACGATGTCTGAAACACCGACTTTGTTGGCAATCTCCACGGTTGTGTCAACGAGCTGCCTGTAATTCCTACGATCAAGAGCCATTCTGCGAACCCAGAAGTTGCGGAAGAACTCCGGTAGAATCTCCTGCTTGATGTAATCTGCTTCTACTCCCTCGGTACTTACACACTGTTTCACAACCTTCAACACAATCTTCTTCATCTCCTCATCAGGAGACTGGAACTCTCGAATGAGAATAACCATAACCTCCTTGGTGTAGTAAGAGGCATACATTGCATCCATGAGAGGAATGATAAATCCAATAGCTTTCAAAAACGCTGCCAACACTTTACCTCGATGAGACCTGATACCCTTCCAGAGAGGCTTGAGGACAGAATCGAAACTCTCGATACCGTAAGGAGCAGCAGCCTCTGCCAAGGCGGCAAGTGACAGAGCAGTAATAGTTCGGACCTTTTGATTCTCATCATTAAGTCCGTGCTCGATAATCTCCACGAGAGACCTCAAATGCGGCAGCACAGCACAACCCATTAGAATGGCGATCTGCTGCACAATTTTGATACCAGTATGTCGGGCTTGCCATGATTTCTTACTTTGACAAACGGCTTTCAAGAAGGGAAGAAGAGCAGGGATCCCCAAAGCTGAAGCCACCACACTGAAAGCTCTCGCAGTCGTGTTTCTCACGTACTCATCGATGTTGTCAATGTCTGGCCTCATTGCAGCAATCATGGTGGCCAGACCAGCAGCTTTACTCAAGTTTGAGATTATCTCTCTACCCTCGACACGAGCGTAGTAATCCTCATCGATGAGAAGAGGTTCGATGACCACCAGAATTTTATGCACGAAAGGTCGCACTAGCTCATCTAATTTGTAAAGAACTCTGTCGATGACTTTTACGAGAAGATGGCGCTCTTGATCTTCTAGAGTTGGAGACATTAGCAGGGGCAAAATTTGGTTGAAAAGGGGCCCAGCTCCGAATTCTCGAGCCTTATCAGTCAACTGCCTGAGTGCTGTTTTACGCTGGGGTGGAGTACCATTCTTCACCTTCAGCAAAAGCTTCATGATCTTCCGCTCCTTGCTTTCTTCGGCCGACATCTCTTCTTCTTCCTTTTCATTCAGAAGAGCTCCAAAGTACTGGTAATCTTCGGGTTTCATGAAAGGCAGACCGCCGGGTGCTTCTTTCGGCACATCAAACTGCTGAGTACGATCCTCTTCGGGAATCGCATACAAAGGAGTCCCTCCCAGGGGTGTTGGTGTAGCGAGCAATTTCCGAGCAGGTGTTCTGATAGGGATGTATGACGCAGGTGGATCCAAAACCTTATACCCTTCCATGGGGAACATTGAGTTGAGTTCCTCGTCCGATAGAGGACGATTTCTCTCCTCAATATCTTTCTCCCATCTAAGCATGTTATACTGCTCGGGGGTCATTGGTCCCCTCAGAGCTATCTGCCCTGGAGTGGGAGTTGCAAGCTCGATTCCACCCATGGGAGTGACTCCAGGAGTAAATGCAGATGGAGTTGCTCCAACCAAAGGAGTAGCACTTCCCATGGTGGCAGGTGTTTCGTCCCAACGAGACCTCTGTTTCTTTGGAGTGGGAGTGGCCATTCCACCCAGCTTGGGAGTGGCATCCCAAGTCATTCCCGCCGGAGTGGCACCAGGGGTGACTCCTCCGGCAGGCGTAGCATCTGCATCGGCCAATCTACCAGGTGTAGGAGTTTCGTCCCATCTATTTCTTCGTGCCACTGTGGGCGTTGCATCCACAGCAACCCTTCCCGGCGTTGGGGTTGCATCCCACCGACTGGGACCTGGAGTGGCATCAGGAGCATCCCACTCTGAGGCGACTTTCGGTTTCTTAGGCTCATCCTGGTCCTGATTTTGATCCCACCGATTTCTTCTCTTCTGACCTGCGGAACTAGGAGCTACAGGTGGAGGAGGGGGGAGATGAGTTTTCTTCTCAGTCGGCGCAGCAGGTTCAGAGGCTTTCTTTTCTGCCTCGTCCTGTTTCTTCTTGGCAATCAACCTCAAGGTTTCCTCTTTGTCACGCTTCAGAGTCTCCTCTCGCATGACATCCGCGTAGGTTCTGATGGACGAGTCGGGAGTCTTATCTCCCATAGCGAATGCATCGTTTCTATCAGGTGATAAAATACGGTTGAGTCTCCTCTTCCTGTAATCATCCTCGCGATCAATGATTCTCTGAGGCTTTTTGAATCCCAAAGCTTCATCTGTGACTTCACCTCGAGGAAGATCCGCTAGGACTGATTTCGGAGCAGTGTAAGAGGCAAGCTTCCGCGCCACCTCCCTCTCCATCGCATCCTGAGGCTCCTCATCTTCCTCATTCACGGCAATAGACTGCTCGTACCCTTCAAATCGATTACCTGCCCCATACAGATCCTTATCGAAACTCACCGACGTCAAAGCGGCCAATTCCTGCTCCTTCTTCCTTCGCTCTTCCTGAACCCTCGCGATATCCGCATCCATGACCTCCATCTCGACGCAAATTACTGCAGCAGAACCTGCGACTCAAATTTCAGAACTTTCACGAGACGAGAGGTGGGAAAACAGACACAGCAAAACCACTCGCCTCCTCTTATCCCACTGCCATCCACGAAACCCTAAATTGACAAACGCGCAACCTTCCCTGCTCAGGCCATCTACCGGCACCTCGCGCACGCAGTCCCAATCACGTCTTCGTCACCCGATTCACTCGCTTGCTCCCCACTCGCAAGTTCCTCCTCAAGTCCAATTCCTCCTCAAGTCCAATTCCTCCTCCTCCTTCTCCTCCTCCTCAGTTTCTTCGCTACTCTCTCGCAGCCTGTGTCAGCATCTGCTCACTCGCGCTTTCCACAGCATCGAACTCCTCCCCGCCCTCTCTGCCTGGCGCAAGAACGAACTCTCTTCAGCGACGTCCTTCTTGCAGCTTCGAGATTCGAGGTCCGAGCTCGTGCCGATGATTTCCCGAGCGACCTAATTCTTCTGCGCTGCTCTTCTTCCGCAGAACCTCCCCCGGCCCAGTGTCTACCCTAACGTTCCCTACGCACTACTGTCAGCGCGCGGCAGCACGAGAGAGCAGCTTTAAGAAGGATCGGGGGAGGCTGTGAGGACGACGGCCGTCGAAAGCCACCCCGACCGTATGTAGAGTTGGAGGCACAACTTCAAAGGCATGCCCCGGGGCGAGAGCACGGGGGCATGTATTATTCGCATCCTTCTATACAAGGCATGCCCGTATGTACGAAAAAATATATACGTATCTTTAGAGCCTTTCAACAGTTTTTTTTTCCACATAACTATATTTTCTGATACTTAAATGTACGTATTTTAATACGAGCATACCTGGAAGAATTTTGTTGTGCCTCCAACGCTAACCGTATGCCTCCGGGCTGACGGCCGTCGGGTCTCACCGTCGTTGTAGTATATATCAAGCCAACTGCGTAGCTATTTCGTAGACAACTGGGTAAACTATATCAACTCCGACCGTATGACGGCAGGGCCCTTCATACGTACACCGTTGGGGACACGCCGTTCCGCACACCGTCGGGCGGTCTGTCTGCTAAATCAGTCCCTAAAGTCGACTGCGGTGAGCTAGAGGAGGAGGAGCCGACCCCTCTTGGCTTTCCCGCCTCTTCTCTCCCTTCTTGCTATGTTCGTGTCTTCTCTCAGCACGAGTTCGCAGATCGAAGTGGGCGGACCCTAAATCTCGGAGTGCAGGTTTCAGCCCTTGACTGGGACTCATGATCGATTTTGGAGGTAGCTCAATTCAATTGGGTTGTGGTTATATGGTTTACCGAGGAGGAGCAGGGGTGGAAAAACTCGATTTTTTTCAGGATTAATCGGGTTTTTGGTTTACTACAATAAACCCCTGGTACTTAATAAAAAAAACCTTGGTTTTTATCACCAAAAATTAAGGTTTCTTTTATTAATACGGGAGGTCTGATTAGTGATTTCATAAAGTGAAAATGACGTGGAAGTGTTTAATTAGTTGGTATCTAGTAAATACCAACGGCCGGGATATAATAGTATTATAATAATATCGATGATACCGGAATAAAACCCGATGTTTGTGAGATCATCGGGTTTTTTAATAAAACCCAATTGTTAAAAACCTATTGATGAAGATGGTTTAAGTGACCTCACTCACTCAAGATTATTACCGATGCCAAGTTCCTTTCTCGATGAACCAGAGGGAGGACGCATTGTGCTCTTGTAGTCTCGATTTTCCTACTATGAAATTCATGAAATATGACTCATCAGGACTTCTTCAGAATCCAACACAGCATACTGTAAACTACTTTGCCAGCTTCTGTGTAGTTTCATTGCTCAGAGTATCTTTATTACATATATTCGATAATTTAGGAAGGTCTTGCCAGAGATCTATTACCTACTTAAAACCTGCACAATCACTATCTGATAGTCCCTGGTACAATAGCACAGATTATGGAATTTAATATAGTTTCTTGACCATCGGCATGTCCACAACAAAAGACGCCATCCGCCTATAACCCAGTCTGCTTTTCATCACGTGAGGAAAGTTAAGCAGGAAATATATAACCTGCACTGGACTATGAAGACGACCACAACCGAAAAAGCTATACATCTTCTCATCTGCAAGACAGTCATTGTGATGGGATCCAACAGAAGGAGCCCCTCTTCTCTGCAACCAAAATACGAAATTCCAATCTCCTTCAGCCATCTCTATGGCGCACTGAAGCAAAACCCAGATCACTTGTGCCAATACGAACTGAATATCAAGGAGGATCAAGATACCCAATAAGAATTTAAAAGGAAGAGTGACAGGGAATAGGTGCAGGCATGTGTTTCCATTCCATTATGCTTAAACCAGGATCTTTATGCCCCAAATCATCATCGACAACCTTGCACTTAGAAAAGATCAAAGTTCGCATAAACATGAAGAAGGCGTCAAAGTTTTTTGATTCCTCAACTTTGTGGAAATTTTCGTAAAGGCCATCGATGCAATTTCAACAATGTATAGCTCAGAAAAATATCACGTGATCTACCTGAGAACTAATTCTACCTGCCACACCTTCGATTTCAATCGTGAAGAAAATTCTCACTTGTCCATGAAAGACGAAAAGGAATTCTTGCAGATTCTTCAAATGCATGAAGATTGCGCATCTTAGGTCAGATCCACAGTTTCTACCTCGCACTTTCTTATTTTTAAGCGTTCAGATTTTTCGTCGAAGAGAGAGAAGAGGAGGGAAAGCCAAGAGGTGTCGGCTTCTCCAAATCTTCTCGCAGTAAACTTTAGCGGCTGATTTAGCGGTGCGGACGTACCGCTAAATCACGGTGCATAACGGTAACGGTGACACACGAAGTCCGTCACGACGGTGACCGTATGCCGTCAGCCAGGAGGCATACGGTCGGGGTGGCTTTAGTCTGCAGTTCAACAACGGCCTCAAGAACTGCGATGTCGTGGCAGGTGCAGGTTCAGAGTGTCATTGGGGGATGATAGAAGCACTCTTGACGACTCGCTGTCGTAGTGAGAGAAACACGATGCCGTCTCCGAGCTATGGAGGAATGGACGAACGACTTTCGAGTAAGTTGGTTCTAGTTTTGTGAATCTGATGGTGAAAAGATTACACAGGCCATATGTTCGACTGTTCAGAGACGCTTGTTGTTGCTTGCATCATCCATTGCTCTCGGCACATGTTCCGGTACTTGAATTCGACGAGAAGCATGGGATTTGTATTTCTTCCATGTGTCGCAGTAATACTAGATTTGGAAGTGTATACGAATGTGTGAGTGAGCAAGAGCATATATTATACAACATGGGATGCTTAAGCATCGTCTTTTTATGGCTCTAAGAAGACCACAGAACAGTGTTATATATATATATATATATATATATATATACGATCTTGTTTTTTATACTTTCATATTCATAATATGGATATTATACATGTTATATGACATGTATATTATCAAAACAATCATAAAATTTCGCCTATATTTCCTGGTGGTTTTGTTCCTTGTTCAACTTGATAGAATCTTCCAAAGTTTTTTACGTCTATGTCCAAACTTATTTCTCTAGATCGAATACTTTTCAAATTGCATTAATATACAAAGAAGCATTATAACATGAACTTCCTTCTCACATATACCTCTGTTACAACATCCATGTATTAAAGTCGACCTTGCTAGATTCTTATAACTTCAAACTAAAGCAAAAGAAAAACAAAGTGACCTTCATTGCAGTTACTTTACTCTACATTTATCAGAGATACCGTATTATCAGTTTAAAATAATAATATCATATGAATTCATTGTGATAAGATAATCCTCAATTGTACCAATATACTTCAAAATCAAATCTAGTTCATATTTAGTTTGAGTGAAATACAAAACATAACAACTTCAAATTGATGTATGGATTTCATGCTATATAAAACTTCGCGTACAGTACCTAATGACATCATCTTCAACATCCTTCAACTCTTACATGGGCTAAAAGTCATAAAATTCCTTCATCATTCAGGTTAACATAATGATTAATGAACATGTAATTAGTTGGACAAGGCAGGCAGCAATCTATATATGTATAATATATAGATTTTGTGAATTCAAAAAGATAATTCGCGAACATGATTACTTGTCACATCAATAACGTGGGAAAATTCTGAAAGGATGAAAATTATTCAATATCAATCTAACTCGATGACAAGATAGATTCTAAACCTCTAATTCAATCTATGAGCAAGGCAATCGGGTTTTAGGGCTCATGTAGTATCTTGAATAATAATATATCATTCGCCTTGTGGGATAAAACTTATAAAGAAAATGATATCATCCACACAGGTGGATGATATCATTTTAAATCTCAATTAAATGACTAAAGTGCATCGACTCATCGTTTATTGTAAATTGGGTTAGGTGAGTGTCTCTATATCAAATCTCCAATTTCACACTAGTTATTCTTGATTGTATGAGGACAACTAAGACGTTGGTGATACTTCAATCGAAGAGTCGTACTTATATAAGTGGAGAAGCAACAATATGAGGTAGAAGATGAGAATTCTAGTGATAATCAAGAACCTCTTATTTTTATTTTTTAAAATATATGATTCTCACACTTATCCAGAAAAGTTTTGTCTTCTATTAATATTTTTTCTAGTGTTGAATATTATTATCATACTTTGAATGAAACCTTGTATGAAAGGTGCCACGTACCTGGCCTCTTGAGAGGCTAGGTCTTTATCTCTTATTCATCGTTGCAATTTTGGCTGGATGATTGATGTGTTGCTGTGTCTTGCATCCACATGGATGAGGTAAGGTTACAGCCCGGAGAGTTATCAATTCTATCAGATCATTGTGGACTTGTAGATCTGCTCCCAGGTGGACTTGGCTGTGGCGTCCTATCCTTGGAAGCTGAAAGAAATCCCTGCAATTGAATACTCAATCTCCTAGATTTTTCCTGCTCATCCCTTAATGCAAGCATCAGATTTTCTATTTTCTGGACACTTTTCTTCAAGGTTTCTAGGATCCTCTTGCGCAGTTCGGGATCAGAAAGTGACAGTTCGGGGGGTCGCTGGTTATAAGCTTTTGATTCGTCCAAAGCTCCATCATCATATTGCTGTTGTCACATGTTTGAATTTAATCATAAATGAATGTGAGATAACGTGCAATTCTTTCATATAATTCGGAAATTGGATAGAGTCTCAAAATATTAGTGATTTCTCACATCGTGAGGTTTTTATATATCTGAAAGAACCCTCCCGGCCTTGAAGGCATTAAAAAAATTGTTGGGAGCTTGATTTTAAACTTAGATGTTTTTTTGAACCCCTGAAATATAATGGATACCTTATTTGTGCATCTATAGATATGTTTGTGAATGGAAGGTAATCCGGTATCGATAAACTTGCGGAGAATTCAATGTAAATTTGCTCTGACTATAGTTTATTCAAATAACCTTCAAGGCTACATTTTATATTAATATATAATTGATTTTTATAAATACCTTTTCGAAGTTCTGTTGCTCCTTTAGATCTCTAACGGTCTTTCTCAATGCAATATTTTCATCTTGTAATTGATCAATTTTTTCCATCATCTATTATAAAACGGTGTACAAACAATTAAAAATCTAGCTCTTTTAGATAAGGTTTTTGTTGGACTTTATAATGATTTGATATTACCTTGTATTTAATAATTTATTAATTCTTTTTTTTAGTGGGCAACAAAATATAGTCACAGGAGTTTTGTATAAGATTGCAATACATGTAAAAATAGTACAAACCTGTTTCCAAGAAATTTCTTGAGTAGCATTCATGTCCCAAGGATTCGAAGAATCTGAGATTTCCTGTTTGATAAGAAGCACCAGGAATATGTTGACATTGTTCAAGAAAAAATTCCTCATGCAGAAACAAGGAAAGTTAAGAACTGAAGATTTCAATCTCTACAGTACTGACATGTGCGGTTGTTTCATTTCTCTATGAAAATATATAATAATCTTTTCAATCTCATTTTCAATGCAAATACTTTCTGAAAAAGTCATTAAATTAAAGTCATTCATCTCAGTTTCAAAAAATTAATTTCAATGTATGAAAATATAGAATATAATATAAATTATGAATTTGAATATTTCTGAGATTCGAAATTAAACACAATTTCAATTCAACACGTTGACCATATCACTGCGAATTTTACACCTGAAAACTATTGGACAAAGTGATTGAAAGAAAGAAATGTGTTGATCTTTAGATTGAAATTTTTAGCATAAACAACTTGATAATAATAACAATAATCTGGCATGAAAATAAAATGTATATTTCATACATAAACTTTATAAGCTATGTTCTACTTTCAAATCGTTTTTGAAAAGATTTAGAAAGTTTGCATTTTAGAAAGTTCAATTAAATCATATGAATTGATATTATAATATTTATGTGTGTGCTGTTTGAAATGAATGATGTTAATATATAAATATATCAATCATTTCATGATATTGGTAATTTTTAAGTTTACAGATGATCGGAATGCATATATATCATTGAAAAGCGAGAACCTTTTGAAGATCTTCATATTGTTGAAGTGTCTTTTTAAACCATCCTTGAGATAATTGAGGATCGTAAAAATCGTCTTGGCACATCTTCTCGTCTTCACATGTGATGTGCCTGTGCACATCACATGTGCAGATTTCGATAGTTTCCGAGGGAACAGATTTTGGACATGATAGAGTAGAAATACGATCCTCATTATCTGATGTCTGTACAGAAAATTTTACACGAATCATACAGAGAAAAGCATCGTGTCTCGGTATAATCTATCATAATTGATTGTTTATACAAATCTATCATATCTCGCCTTTCATTGACATTTGCCCTCCACTTGGCTTCCCGATTTCATGTTTAGCGTTGAACTTATAGGTGCGTTCTGCAGATGTTCACTATGCGAGTGGCTCGTCTGAAGGTTTAATACTTAGTTAGACTATAATATTTTCATATTTTCTGTACATCCTTTAAAAGTTGACATTTATAACTTAAGAAAGACTGTTTGACCTGAGAATATCCACACTCATTAGCGCTTGCGTCTTGTTTCAGGGTGTTTATAGTCTTGGTACTGGCATTTGAGAGAGCGTCAAACTCCTGTTTCTTTTCTTTTGTGTCAACAACTTGTTTTGTGGATCCAAGTGGATTTTTTTTCTGTTTTTTTATACATGAAAACATATGAACAAAGCATCAGTGATTGTTCAAAATGTTTTTATCGCGAGGTCAAATTTTTATTTACATACAAGGAATATTTCCTTGCATTGATAGGAAATTTTTTCCATGCTATGTGTTTATGAAGGATTTAAATTTTATGTGATCTAAATGAGCAAGTTACGAATCCTCATGATCCTTTTAGTTTGGTTTGTATTTGTAAGAAAACATTTCATGTGACAAAATACTCACATCGATTATCAGAAAAAAAGTCACTTCACAAAAGAAATGAAGAATTTTGTTTGGAATGTCTATACATAAAACATATACGTAGTCTATAGTATCTGATAACACTAACGTGCTGATTTGATTTAGAGATCAGTTAAGCATGTTGTGGTGATTGCAAAAGCTTTAATCTTGATATCTGACCTTGATTCTCAATTTTTTTTCACCTTGACTTGAAGTTGATCTTTTCACAATTTTTGGAGGGATGTATGACCCTAAATCATGATTAAAATCGATAGTTTTTAAGTCAGCGGGAGCACGGAACTTATTGAGATATGCACCACGATGCTTCGTCACTCGAGAAAGAGGCCGTCCATCCTCAAAATACACTGTTGCCGGCGACAACTTAAAGCCAAGAATTTCCTGAATGTCCATCTCTGGAGAACAATGATAATAATGGTGATTGTTACTATGATTCAATTTAAGATCTTACAGTATAAAGTAGTGATGGATTTCATAGTCCAAATATCTGATCAGTTCACATGATATGGATTGCAGATACACAGTATTTACTACGATACTTTTTAAATAAATCTTCAAGGCATTTATCATCAATATTTGGAAACTTAGTATTCTTCTACGTACTTCGTTTATATTCTTCAACCCACGTATTATTATTTGTCTGTAAGTAACTTGAAACTCTTTTTTAGTAATCGTTTTTTACGTTTTGATTGATATAATGAATCATTATTTATACATGAAATCTGGACGTGTTTGAAGAAATATCGAGGAATAAAGTATCCATAATTTTATAGAATTTTATTTTATCGTATATGTATCAAATTTGATCCTAATCGATAATAATGTTTGTAGAAGTAAATCGATGTGTACAATTAAAGCCTGCTTGTTGAACACATTTTTATCGGAACACCGGAACCAAATATCGGAATGCATACAAACTTGGATAGATCTTATTAGATTACCACAAAGTAAAAATAGAAAAGGAAAGGATTAGGTTTTAATTACTTTAACATTCAACCAAAGCATCACAGAGTTATTTTGAGACAATTTGCATAAGTTGGAAATCCATGGGATATTGATTCATATCTCGTAAATCGTTGTGACGTGATCAATATGCACTGAGGTTAGAATCAAATCTAAGCAGGAAAAAAATGTACGTACCTTGTTCTATGAACTAAATGTATGCCAGGAGAGCGAATGCATAAAAATAAGAAGATTGTATCTTAATTCGAACGTAGAAGATGGATGATCTTTGAAAGGACATCAGCCTCCAAAGGACACATCCAAAACGTTTTAAGAGTTAATCAAGCACATGGATCAACCTTCCTCGCCATTGGATAGAGACAATCTTGTCCATAAATATCTTGTTTCTGATAAGAAGAGGTGTCTTTCCATCAACATGAATCTGAAAACTCACAAACTGAGATAAGTACGAATAAGGTTTCCTATAAGATCAGGGATCGCTTTTATGCAATTACCCATAAAAGTTGCCCCATCGCGCTAATAGGTCGGAGTGCATGCAATAAATCGTGACTTTGGATTTTCCTTTATTGAACGTGTGCGCATGGAGGAAATAAAATATCTGACTTTGCAAAGCAGCGAAAATCAAAATGTGTGTTATAATACAGGATGAGTGAACTCATTATCAACCAGGTCCTTACAGGGTTATTTGACGTCACCCCAACACAAGGTCTAGAAGCTGACGTGAATCATTGGAAAAATAGTTTGTCACCTACCCCAGCTCTGTGTTACTTTGCTTGGAATAGAGGAAAGTGGAAGTCTAGCCCCCGGCTTCATCTGCGGCGGATGGGGTCTTCACATTTTTAAGTCTTTAACCACCCGTCCCCGTTCTCCCTTGCGTGGTACACCGTCACAGGAAAAGACAGAGTAGATCATTTAGAATCACGGAAGGCCAATGAGGATTCATTTCTCCAATTTGACAGCACTATAGCAAGGGAAGGAATACAAGAGGAATCGGTAAACACCAACAAAAGAGAATGTTCAGTATTCCGTTGCCGGGACTTGAACCCGGGTCGCTCGGGTGAGAGCCGAGTATCCTAACCAACTAGACTACAACGGAGGATGCACTTGGTTTAGTTTTTAGTATAATATATGTTTTATTTTTTTCTGGGTAAAAAATTGTCCCTGTTCGAATTCCTCTCATCAGGAGAAATAAGAAAATATTTTTTTAAATCTTACAGATTCAATGATGTATTTAAAAATTTAGCAGGCAAGCTTGAATAGCCTCCTCCGTTCCCCCTTCAACTCTTGGTAGAGTTTTCCATTTTCGAGAATTGCATTTGATATTCTTCTTCCTGATACGATGAATTAAGAATTCTTCTCAGATCCAATTCAGTTTCACACATCTGTATAGATTGTAGCTGGGAACATTTTTTATTGCTTCCAATGTCAAATTCAAGTGGGTAAAGTAGTGAAAAGTCGAGTAAATTACACTTTTCTTATCTTCTTCACCAGTTTTCTTCATAAATGTTTAGATGGTTCCACCCCACAAGGCAAGCTGCAAGGGTCATTATTATCAACCTCATTAGTATTTGTGATGAAATAAGAAAAGCTTTAGGAACTGTCCAAAGATTTGGAATCACATCTCGTCCGCAGTTGTGGTGACTTCACATTTCAAGTAGTCAGCGAGATAAAAAGGCCCAACAACACCTCACAAGTTCCATTTGTTTGCTTTCGTCAACGTTTCGTGGCAACTGTGGTAATGACTTTCTGATGGCCAGAGGTACTAAAAGGTGTCGGTTCGCTTTTGAGTTTGAAAATCAAGCGAGAATGTTTGAATACTATCATGCACTTTACAGTATTTGCGACGAAGCTTTAGTTTAAGACATTTATGACACATAAGGTCTCAAAGAATCAATATTTTACAAATACCTTACAGGTATAATGATGTTGATTTACAATGAAGTCATCCCGTTCGAGCATCCACTTATCCAGTTCAGGTGAGAAATCCATATGACGGAGGACGCTTCTAACGAAATCAAAACATGAATTTGGTTTTTCTGTAAGTAATGAAGAAGGCTAAACCTGCACGGCGTCTGACTGCCATCCTCTAGCCCTCTCAAATCCGTTTCTTCCAAACTGGTAGTCCCTAATAGTCTGCATAATCTCCTCCTTGGTGTTCATCACAAATGGTCCATGTTGGACAACTGGCTCGTTCAGAGGCTGACCACCTATCAGAACAAAGCGAGCAACCGTATCTGCTCTGTTCCACACATTCAGCCCATCACCAGGTCCCAGCTGTACAGTGTGAAATGAATCAACAGGAGATGCATCTTCTGAACCAATTATCAGTTTGCCTTGCAGAATGTATATAAAAGCATTCCATCCTTCGGGAACAGCTTGGTGAAGGACGGTGCCTGGCTGCATCGTGAAGTCCAAATACATAGTAGGTGTTCTAGTGTAAACTGGAGATTTTACACCAAAAGACTCGCCAGCAATCACTGATACCTTGATACCGTCTTTTTCCACCTTTGGGACGTCCTTGTCTACGAGTTCCTGGTACTTTGGATCCACCCTGAATACAGGAAAATTGGGAAATGTAATAAGCAGAATGTTGTTTGCCGAGCCTGGTCCACATCACACTCTGTAAATCCGCTCATCACAAATATTCTCAATCACGTTCAAATACTCCACATCAACTAATTCCAGAAACCAGACATCTATGAGCTGAAGCAGGCATCGAAGTTCTGACTTGGAAAAATCGCATATAAACTCACATCTTATCTTTTGCAGCGAGGTTAACCCAAAGCTGCAGCCCGACTGACGGAGTCTTACCGCCTGGCATTTCACAGTGTACGATTCCTCGTCCAGCCGTCATCCACTGCGAGGGTACATTACACATCAATGAAATGCACATGTAAAATATATGCTCATGCACTTACTGAAGTATTTGAGCGTCATAAGGTGTCATGAGGTGGAAGAAGCTGCACATCTGCAATATCCTCGTGAGGATGCCCAAATTTAGGTACACAGAGCCCGTGAGCAGGGCTTCACAGGCTCTGTGTACCTGCCTCTAATTTTCACACATCTTGCGGGCAGTAACTGAACGAAAACCGTAATTTACCTGAAGATCACCAGGTCCAATGATTCCTTTGTGCCCAGCGAAGTCCTGATGAGTGCTCACTCCCTGTATTGAATGATGCAAATTTTAGCACCACAATCACAGAACTTGACCGTTTGTGTGAGGCTACTACAAACCAAGAGAATATCAACACTAGGCTAAAACACAACGCAATGCGACCAAAGCTTAGTCTGGTGTGGACCACATCATTGGAAAAAAGGCACGTTACAACGTGTACATTAGAAACCCCAAAACTCTACAGCAATTTAGCTTTTGCCGAAGAAAATAGTGAAGTACCTCGAGCATGTACGTGACTGTTTCGAATCCACGATGAGGATGATCAGGGAATCCAGCAGGGGGAGACACTGCAAATCCGAACAAAAAGTAGATAAGAAACAATGTAAGAGGGAAAGGGAGAACCAAATGCTGCATACGATCCAATCAGAACTTCGCGCAAGGTCCAAAAGACATGCATCATAAGAGTTAATCGAGACGAAAACAAGTAATGTCTCAGAGTGGAAAAAGGTACTTGGCTTCGAACTTCATCAAAGAATTCAGAAATCCCAGTTTTAAGACGAGGAAATTAATGCTTTCTGTTGAATCGGGACACATCAACACACTTCTAAGACCCTCGAGCAAGTAAAAACACAAAAGGCTGCCCAATAATCCACGCTGTCTAGGAAAGAATCGATACACGATGCTCCTCCAAGAACAAAACCGAATGCGGTCTCCACTTCCGCCGACAGAGATTGACTTGTGATTTTCAGTCGTAAGTGTTGTCGGTATCTTACCTGAAAAGTGATCCAGAAGTAGAAAGGGGTCCAATTGTTTCATTTCAGGCCTGAAACATGAGAACGAGATCAGCTCAGATTCATCCAAGACAACGTAGATTTCTCGAATATTGGGCCTTGCGACATAGCAGGCCCAAAATGGCTAATCATTGTCCACTTCGAACAAGCACGAAGTGCGAATAGAGCTCCTCACCTGCCAATACTCCTTCTCACAGTAGCGCCATCGCCTTCCGGTTGCTCCTTGGACAGCAATGTTCTGACGACTTTGCGTGGCTTGGTCAAAACCGGGGAATCGATTCCTGCTTCGGTAGCCATCGCTCTAACCCTCGTATCCAACCTTACAACGACGCCTCCTGAACGAGATCTCTGAGAAAAGGCCTTAGTCTTGAAGTCTGCGGATCCGATTTCACTCACACCAACAGAACTCCGATCGATTTGTGTCGTCGGTACAAAAGAAACGGCTGAATATACAGATCTGCAGGTGATCGAACGACCTATTTGACCCGGGACCCGACAGAGCACAGGCGTCAAGTGTTGCATTGAAATGTCGAGGACTGTTCTCAGGCACCTACCGAGACAGACCTCGAGAACCTGCTTATGATGCAGTCGTGAGCCCGTCTAGTCAACTCTACTCATGTGCACTGTAAGCCATCTCTTCACGGGAGATGCTGATTAGTGAAAGCGCGGCCACTAAATTCGGAAACCCTGTAGTGCTTCCGGGGTGGGTTCCTGCGACATATTCGCCCCTGCCCACAAAGTTTGCCAGCCAATCCATCGTTGCTTTCGTAACTTTAGGTTCCAATAAATTCATACTCTCCCCTTCCCGCGGAGCTTCGTTCCACCGTGTCCTCCCAATCATTGGCCTGCAAGAAGGAAGAAAGAGCTCGGGAGCCTTCGCAGCTGCACTGTTTGTCCACTTCTAAAAAATCCCCCGCCCCACTGACACGGCCCTATTACTCTCCGAGCTCCAAACAGCGACATTTTGTCGTCATTTTAATCATGGAAGTCCGTAAGCCGATAAACAGAGCGGGCAACAGCCTCGGTTGCTCCCTTCCTTCCTTCCGGCCGCGGGACGTCCATGGCGGTCTTGCCTCGCGAGTTTCCCGAGTCCTGGGAGAAAGAAAAATTGCTTCCGGCCCATATTCATGAATCTGCGGATTCCATATCTGGGGCGTTCCCGATAGGCCCTGACTTTCCGGAAGACGGATCGGTCGATTGGTAGGTCCGGGACTGGAAGCAGGACTCGCAGGATCCGAAGAGCGGGGAGGAGAGTCTTTCGTCGACCACTTTTGGCCGGTCCATCTTCTGGACGGAGCGCAGCAGAATGTGCATGCACCTTCGTTCGGCTGGGGCCGGGAGGTCGAGAATCAGAACATGTTGGGCTCAGGATAGTGCGTCTGCTGACGCACGCATGTCACCGAGGCAACAACCGAAAGTCCACTCGAGACTTCCACAATTTCAAGCTCCCCGCAATTTATTCTAATGCTACTGGATTTGCGAAGCTCGCGATGGAGGGTGCGACGAGACCGATCGGATTTGGAGGCTTCTATTTCTGACTGAAAGGCTGGACCTGCGGGCGATGGGGGAGGGAAATGTATTCGTCCATCGACTGCTTGCGTCAGCACATGTCGCACAGAATCTCGAGGTGCACTTTCTGAAGACTCCGATGTTTCCGATCGAGGGTCTCGCTGGATCGCACTTTCTCCTCGCGTACATGGAAACCCTACTCCCGTCCATTCCCGCATCATAATCATGATTATATGAACACTGATGACTGACATTCTTCTACACCCATAAACTTCTGGGAAAAATTCTTCATGAGACGTCCTGATCCAAAACAATTAATTTTAGCTATTGGAATCCTCGAACGAGCCACAGTGACCCATATTCTGCCACTATCTGGGAAATTGGCCATTTCAACTTAATGGATATTCGCCCTTTCCGTGACATCGTGGATGCAGATCTATCTATTGATCCCGAAGGGTTGAATGAGGTCGGCCCTTTCACTCCTCTCTTCTTTCATTTTCTCTCAATCTTTACTCTCTTTTACTATTCCTTGACTACCGATAGATTGAACGAAAGGTGTGACCGAACTCGATATTCTATAATCAATAATCTATTTCGAGAAAATTCACCCTTTCACTCCCTCTTCATACTCTTCTCTTTCTTCTCTTTTTTACCGTTCGGTGCCTTCGTGGGCGCATCTGCATACAGATGACCCCATCTCTCTGCTGAGTGGAGTTCGAGTGTTCCGAAAATTAGTGCACTTGGGGTTGTAGGCGAGATAATAAAGGGCTGCAAGATTTTAAATTACGAATGACGGTGTGCCGGTGGTGTCCCATCGGGTAAAAGGAATCTTGGTATGTGGAATTGTTTTGTGTTAGGTATTGAATTCATCAAGTAATTTTTCTAAATTTCTTATTCAAGGCTTTATTGATACTTGCACTTCCGCTCTTTATCTAGATCTAGCATCAGTATTATGTGTCCAACAAATATTTCAAACTGGAGCTTATATATTACTGGAACATTCGGTTCGATGATCCAAACAATTAAGGTTTCGTAAACGCACTGAAATGGATATAAACCAGTTCAGAGCCTTTGGTGTTATTATAGCTAAAATCATCATGGCTAACTGAATGGATAAATTGTTTTATTCCACATTATTATACTTGAGTGCTCTATACACAGTTATTTCAACTTGATTGTCAATTTTATTGTAGTTAAAATAGATTATGATCAATATTTTAAAATTTTGAATTGTGTGAATTTTTTTTAAGATTTTAGCAAATTAATTTGCACAACACTATAAAACTTAAACATATTAAGTAATATTTTCTAAATTTTTTATTTGCAATATTGATCAATTGAATATTATGTATGAACATGTATATGGAAAATTTTAAAGGAATATGGATTATGATTATATAATGTGCTTAGCTATTATTTTATAAAAAATATCATCCTTACAAATGCAGATAGACATAAAATTTTAAACATAAAATTGCAAAGTCTAATTAAAAAATTATTGTTATTGAAAAAGTTACATGATAGAATCCATACTTAACACACAAAATTTCTTGGGATACAACACACATTATTTTAGCAGATGAAATTACATTTATGGTAGATCGTCATCCATATTTTAATATAAATCGACGTCCTGGGCCCAGATGTGATTTCTAACCTTGAGATTGATGTTTAGAGGGCAAGTAACGAGTAGCCCTAAAGATGATGTCTGATAGAGGGAGGAAGTAGCGGAGCTGAGATAAGATAATGTTACAACGCGCTTTGAGAGTCATAGACGAAAGTAAGAGTTGACGACAAGAGATAGAAGGAGAAATTTATAAGGGAAAGAGAGCAAGAGAGTGAAGCACTCATACTTGAAACAAGTGCTTGCCAGTCAAGACAAGATTGGATGGAGGAGCTACATCGGATAGATGAGAGTAAACTGCAGAACTTACTATTGTGGTTGTTTTTATTCGCCAATCCAATCGTATTTATCTTGAATCATTTCTTTTTGTTTCTACTCCAAATCATGTAAGCGTTCTTCAAATCAAGTTTGAAGGTCGTTAGGAGTCTGGTTTACCGCACATATAATTGATGATTATAGTGTTGAGGTTAACTGCGCTTAAAATGTAGTCTCAAATCCTCACTAAAAACAGCTAGGAGGGTTGTAGCTGCTGGAGTATTTATACTCCAAGGTTTGTGTATTATCAACACATTTTTTAATATACCTCTCACATGTGAACTTTCCGTCGTGGACGTAGTTCCTTCAAAGGGATGAACCACGTTAGATTGATGTTTAGTCTATTTGCGCTTGCGTCTTACGGTTTTTGGTTTACTCGTAACAATTTCAGTTTGGAATCTCATCTAATTTAGGTTAGATCATGTGACAGAGCTGTGGTTTGTGACATTGATTTCAAGTTTTTGTTCTTTGATTTTCAAGAAATGTGATAGGGAGTTCTTCGAGGTGAAGAAAATCAGTTGAGCATATTCAAGTGACAGTTTTTCATGTGACAAAAAATTCTTTGAGGTTGGAGAAATAAGCTTTTATCGAGGCAAGTTCATTATGCATTGGGCATGCAATGCAATAGACAGAAGACATTATTGCTATTATGTGCTTGTCATGGAGGTTGGCGGAAGTTGATGTGCACAAGAGTTAAGAGAGCTCCGGGTGCATTGTGGCCGATGATGCACGCATTTGAATGAGAGTATTATCTAGGCCTTTGAGCCACACACAAAAAAGCAAGGATAGCTTGAGATGAAATGGAAATGCTTATAGATGAAGGTCAAAGGAAAAGAAACATAGAATGGGAAGAAGTCCGTTATGCGCTGAGGAGGAACTCACTGCCCCGGAAGTAAATGGGATCATACATGTAATGCAGTAAAGAGTGGATGTATGCTCTACGAGTTTGGTGGCTATGGACGTGATGACTATTGAACAAACAATGTTCATGTTTTTGATACAATTAAGCAGACATGGAGCAAGACCATGGTGAAAGAAACTGCAACTAGACAAAGAGACAGTCATATTCATACCACTGTCAGTAGCAAATTTTTTGTGTTTGGTGGTACAGATGAAAATAGTACATTGAAAGATCTACACATTTTTGACACAATAACCAATCAATGGAGCACTTCAATCACAAAGGAAGATGGACCAGCAACTCAAGAGGATCATAGTGCCGTCCTCGTTGGAACACAACTTTTTGTTTTTAGAGGTTGTGAGAGATCCCATGATGATATGAAAGAAACTTACTTAAATTATCGATACATTTTAGAAACTACAACTTTTTAATGTACAAAAACAAACACTCTTGGAGCAACTCCAGCCCCCATAAACAATCACACATGTTCCACATACAGAAATACATTTATGGTTTTGAGAAGCAAAGATTCATCAAATTTGTATCTTTCTGACATATATTTCCTTAATGCAAACACTTTAGTTTGGAAGTAATTATAGACGACATGTCAAAAGCTAGTTCCCCTAGCCATGCACACAACTGTGATTCTAGGAAAATAACTCTTTGTGTTTGGAGATTTCACTAATGATTGCAAGCTGTTTGATGACTTGCATGTGTTGCACATTGAATCCTATGTATGGATCATAGCCACCACAACAATTGAAGGTTCGTATCTCGTCAATTTGCTAGGAATATTTTGCTCATAAATATTCCATCCGCAAGAATTTTTGTGGCAATATAGATAAATGAGATATCGTTGGAAAACTCTCAACACGACTATGTAAATCATTAGTGTAAATGTAAATGTATTGTATGTATGTAAATCATTTTCAAAAGCTGACAGATGATTAAGAAGGAGAAAATTGACGCGAAAGCTATTTCTATCTCTACTTTTTTTACTAATGGAGATGACAACGTGACTGGTTGGAGTATCTGGATTAAGGAGTATGATCTTCTAACAATATATGATGCTTATAGTTTACACGCTACGAGATCTAGTAGCATGTAAGATTCTTGTCAGTATGGATGTTTATTTCAATGAGGTCTAGATTCTTGAAAGAGGTGGAGAGTTCTTAGTTACCTATAATTACAAGGAAAATTTCCATTCACAAATTTGGTTGTTCGAGAGTTTGATCATTATGTGGTTAATGATCAAGAAGTAGCACTGGTACTGGTGAAGTTCTTTAATTCATGATTGAGCTAGTCAAGATTGAAAAAATAAATTATTTCAGCTGATGCGTTGACCAAAGTTATTCTTATATGAAGTTTCAGTCAACACTATATCACTATGCAGGTTGTGAGGAGCACATGTAGAATCTGCTAGCATAGTACGTTTAATTATTTTTTTATATAATTACTCTTATCAATGATGATTACGGCTTAATATTAGTTAACTCTCGTGTAAAGAGGAGCTTTGTATAAGATTTCTTTCTAGAATTTACCGTGAAATAATTATATAGATTATGAATTTTATGTTCCTTTTATGCTAGCAGCTTTTTAGTTAACTCTTTATGTAATTACTCTATCTTGTGATGGCTACAACTTAGTTCTAGTTAACTATCTTGTCAAGAGTAATCTTGTGTTAAGTTTCCATCTAAAATTTTCCGCGGAATAATTTTACTGTTTACTTAACATAAATTTTAAAAAAGTTATTGAGGTTAACTTTGGTTAAGGAATAATATATGTACTAGCTAAAAATAGTTGAGTGTCGCAAGTGCTGAGGTATTTATACCTCAAGGTTTGTGTATTACTTAGAACATTCAGTACATTTTCACGCGTGCATTTCCACATGACCGTAATCTTTTGTGGTGAATCACGTTACATTTTGGTCTACTATTTACTGTTATTGTTATCGCTAACAACTATCTCTTTTCATATAAATTTCAAGCTTACCGTAATGATCGCTTGTGAGATCTTGAATGTAGCAAGCATGGAGTCAAGTGAACATATATCACATATTTTTTCGGCCAATTTGATTTCAAGCATCAATGTGTTCTTCCTATCACAACTTTTTCCATTTCAAGCTATACTCTTCCGTAGAAATCTTTGACATACCATGCAAGAATGTGAATACAGAACTCTAGTTAAATGGCTTTCACCAAACTCACATAAATGCATATTTATCCCTCTGTAACAAATCGATGCATATTATCCCTATGTAACGAATCAATGCCTATATCTCATACACTACGCCTATAT